TTGTTAAAAGAATGTAGAAAACTGACCTTCATGGAAGAGATCATATTTGCAGAATATCTTGAAGAAGGGTATAGGTTTGGACATGGAGAGAGTGGGAGGGGAGCAGCAGGAATAGATAACAATAGGAGCAAATATGCGGAGGTGAGATTTTATAGCTGCTTTCTGTGAGATGTAGTCCTATTTGGCCAAAAGGTAAAGTTTGTAAAGAAGAAGTGGCAGGGGATAGGAGGTTGGAAAGGGGTCATGTTTAAGAGGGCCTTGAATTCCAGAACTTGGGAGTTTATATTTAATGTTGTAGGTAGGTGGGGAGAACCACTGCATTTTTTCGGCAGGGAAATTGTGATCAGGCTATATATATATATATTCTTTTTGAGACAGAGTCTTGCTCTGTTGCCTAGGCTAGAGTGTAATGGTGCGATCTCGGCTCATTGCAACCTCTGCCTCCCAGGTTCAAGCGATTCTCCTGCCTTAGCCTCCTGAGTAGCTGGGATTACAGTTGTGTGCCACCACCCCAGCTAATTTTTGTGTTTTTGGTAGAGGCAGGGTTTCACCATGTTGGCCAGGCTGGTCTTGAACTCCTGACCTCAGGTGATCCACCCGCCTCTGCCTCCCAAAGTGCTGGGATTACGGGCATGAGCCACCGCGGGGATAAATGTTGACTTCTAGCTGCTCCAGAACTACAAGGTAGAAATGTATCTAGGATATAGCTAGAAATGTAGTTTAATGCTTAGGAAAGAGTATTGGGCCAGAGAAAGAGTCAAGCTACCATATGCATAGAGTAAATGGGATTTTTTATGGAAAAAATATATAAAATTTAAAAAGGTGGAAGCTGAAGGCAAAATTTTTTTTAGGGAATAACTGGGGTCAGGGAGGAGACAGGAAGAGTGGTTTGAGAGGTTGAAAGAAAATAATAATTTCATCAAAGTTATGGAAGGATGAAATAAAGAAGGCAGAGAGTGAGGGAGAAGGAAGACCTGGGATAAAGGAAGGGGACAGAGTCTGAATTTGTTCAGTCATTGGTGACTCTCAAGTGAGAGGAATGAGAGTGAAACCAGAATGCAGAGAGTAGTAGGTAGTGAGGAAATAGAGATTTTTCAGTTCAATAACTCTTATTTTTTAAATTGGTAAATAGTATTTGTTGTAGAAAATCTGGATACTTAACAAATCTTTAAGAATCTGCTATCTGCCAGACATTGGACTAGGTGCTGAGATGCAAGGAGGACTAGCATGATAAAGACATGACCTTCAATTCCTTCGTTCCTTCTCTCATCTCTGTTTAGAGTCCATAGTACATTATTATTATAATTACCCATGTGAATATATTCTTAAACTTGCTCCTCTTCCTCCAGTGTAGTCACGAGACTAAATTCCAACACGTGAATTCAATTCTCCACCTAGTCCTTGCTTATACTTGAGCTGCTGAATGTGGAGAAAGGGATGTGACCACATGGACTGGTCTCACATTAATTATGACCACTAACCTTAAGTGACCTTTAAAACTGCCCAGCTTAACTTCTGCATTTCCACATTGCATTCATCCTGCTTCCCCGTCACTTTCCTAAATGACAATTTCACATGTTCTTTTTTTTCTCTTTTGAAGGACAACTGTTCTTCCCACTTTTAACTAAAGAACTTGCTTTTAATATCACTGATAATGTGGACACAGTCAGACGAGAACTCCTTCATGCTCCTGTACCACAGCTGTCAACATATTTACACATTAATGTGAATAGTCTGCCACTTTTCTGTTCTAGTGGTTGAGTGTTCGTTTCCTTGTCCAGGGTCTGCTTCTCTGTTTGTGGACTGGATCCCATCCCATCCCTCTAATCTACTCAAGGACATCACTCTAGGAACTATCTTGTCCTCTTTTTTGGATCAACAATTTTTGTCTCTCTATTGAGTCTTCCCCATCAGCATATAAATATACTCTATTATCTCCCATTTAAGAATAGTAAATAATTGACCCTATATCTCTTTCTAGCTACTTCTCTATTTCTCTGCCCTTATTTACAGCAGTATTCCTTGAGACACTTGCCTATGGGCATGTCTTCTTTATCTTCTTTCATTTTCTTGAATCCATTCCAGTCAGGGTTCTATCCTTACCATTTCACTGAAACCATTTAGTCAGTTCATTTAGTGATACCTGCTTTGCCAAACCTAATTATCATTGGACTTGGTTGATAATTTTCTCTTTGTTGAAATGCTTTTGTACGTGTTGGTTTTTAGGATATCACACTCTTAGTTCTCCTCTTACTTCATTAATTGCTCCCTTTTGGTTTCCTTTGCTGGTTCTTCCTTCCATGTCTCTGACCACTAAACATTGGCATACCCCAGTTCTTAGTCCTTGGACGTCTCCTTCTGTCCAGCTATACTCACCTTCAAATAACATCTATCGGCTGGCAACTCCTGAATTTCTGTCTTTAGCCCAGACCTTTCTCCTGAACTTTAGATTCTTTAGGTAGGCTGCTGGATCATCTGCTTTTGAATGTTTAGTAGGCATCTCAAACTTAAAGTGTCTAAAACCAAACTTTTTCCACCTTTAAACATATTCTTTCTTTTTTTTTTTTTTTTTGTTGAGATGACGTCTTACTCTGTAACGTTGGCTGGAGTGCAGTGGCGTGATCTCAGCTCACTGCAACCTCTGCCTCCTGGGTTCAAGTGATTCTTCTGCCTCAGGCTCCTGAATAGCTGGGATTCCAGGTGCCCTCTACCACGCCAGGCTAATTTTTGTGTTTTAGTAGAGACGGGGTTTCACTGTGTTGGTCAGGCTGGTCTCGAACTCTTGACCTCAAGTGATCTGCCCGCCTTGGCCTCCCAAAGTGCTGAGATTACAGGTGTGAGCCACTGTGCCTGGTCTAAACCCATTCTTTTTAAATAGCTTTCTTTATGTCAATAAATGACAATTCCATTCTTCTGATTGCTTATGATATAAACCTTGAAATCGTCTTTATCTTGTCTCTCTGTCGTATCCGTATCCAAGCCATCAGCAAATCCTGTCAGCTCTGTCTTCAAAATATATTAAGAATCTCACTATTTCTCATGACCTGTACTGCTGCTACCCTCATCCAAGACACCATCATGCCTTGCCTAGATTATTATAAAAGTTTCACAAGTGATATTTCCACTTATACCGCTGCCCCCTTTGAACAGTCTTTTCTCAACCCAGCAGCTAGAGTGAGCCTTTTAAACTGCAAGATAGATTACACGATTCTACTGAAAGCCCTTTTGTGCCTCCCATCTCACTCAGTAAAAGCTCAAGCCCTTACAGTAATCTACAGACTGTTATTACATAATCTAAGCTCCTTTTACATCTCTTACCTAGTCTCCTATTACTCTCCCTCTTGCTCGTTCAGGCCCAGCATCACTGGCCTCCTTGCTGTTCCTTGAACATGCCAAGCACGCCCTTACCGCACCTCTTTCTAGGACACTTCCCGTGCATGTCTGCTGTACTAGCTCCCTCACTTCACTTAGAACTCTGTTCAAATATCAGCTGAACACAGAGATTTTCCTTGAGCAATACAAACAATCCTCCACCACAAGAACTCCTTTCCCTTTACTCTGCTTTGTTTTTTTTTTCCCAATAGACTTATTACCATTTGGTATATTTAGTTGTTTATTTTTGTGTTCTATCTTGAGAAATTTGTTATCTTCCTTAATAAACTGAAAGACAGAGATATGTTCCTTGTGCTGTTAAACTGGAAGCTCCACGAGAGCATGGACTGTATCTGACTTGTTTATCATGTATCTGTAGCGCGTTATGTAATTCCTGGCACATAGATATTCAGCACATCATTTTAAATGAATGAATGCCTTTTAACTTTAACAGAGAGGCCAGCTTGCAGTTATTGTGTGTGTGAGTGTACACATTTGTAGTAACTGTATATGATTAGATGGTCCATCTCATGTACATTTAATAGAAATAATTTATCATCCATCTAAAAACTGACCTAAACATTGTTTAAATCAACTTATAGGGTCAATCTTATTGCGTTCGACCTTTTACAAATCCCAGTGCCTCATTTATTATAAAAATGGCATGGCATAAAGAGAGATAGGGGCATAAATCTGCATGCTGCTGTAAGAAGAGCTGAATGGGAATGGTACAGCATTTTGCTATGAATCAGCCTGCTGTGCTTTTAGATTATGCCTTATGGGACTTGCAAAACATTGCTATTTTAAACTTTAGTTATAAATTATCTTTTAAGGGACCATTTAGATATGACTTAGTAAACAAAGGTGGCCTGAACTGTCCAAGCATGAAATTACATTCATCTAATATACATAGCTCTTCAAAAGCTATACTTTGTAAAACGGTTGAATGACTTGAATCATTTACATGTTGTGATGGCCTAAACAGTCATTTCTGAGAATTATAAGCAAGTGTAAAAGACAAAATAATATAAGGTTCTAGATTAATTATGCAGCTATAAATCATAGATTAAGGAGCTCAATTATGTTTGTGCATTAACAACAAAACCTTGAGTGTGTTGGTGATTGTGTGACAAATATTTATCATTCCTTTCATATAAAGATGGCTTCTGCTCCCCCCACAGAGACATACAACCACATATCTTTGGGTCCTTAGGAGATTTTTTCCGTTCTTCCTGATTAAAAATATTGATATAATTTAAATTTGAAAATTCATTCAGAATATAAACAAAAATAGAATTTATTTCTGTTTTATTTTTCTTAAGTGATTTTTTTTTGCTACATTTGTTCATACTGAATTCTGTGTAGATATGTTGACCTTTAATAACCAAGGTATTTTATGGACAAAACAATGCAAAAGTAATTTTATATATATATATATATATATATATATATATATATATATATATGTTCACATACACAATGACATGTCTTTTCACTCCTTCCAGCCACATTAACATGGTAAAACTTGTTTATTATGTGATACCAAGCTTTCACATCTCCATATGAAAACAGTAGTTCAGTTGAGTTTGGGGGAAAAAAATCCACAGTTGTTGTCTTGTTGTTCACAGGAAGGGAGGCAATAATAAGTTAATAAAGATCTATCACCGGGATGGTAAATATGGCTTTTCTGATCCTCTGACATTTAATTCCGTGGTGGAGCTCATTAACCACTATCACCATGAATCTCTTGCTCAGTACAATCCCAAGCTTGATGTGAAGCTGATGTACCCAGTGTCCAGATACCAACAGGTAAGATTATGGAAGTCCTTGCTAGCTATTAAGCAAGTCATTATTTAACAACCTTATTTGATTTTTTTTACCAGTGTTACTAGTTTAAAAAAACTAGCCATTTTATTATTTATTTATTTATTTACTTTAAGACAGAGTCTCTCTTGCCCAGGCTGGAGTGCAGTGGCATGAATATGGCTCACTGCAGTCTTGACCTTCTGGGCTCAAGTGGTCCTCCTGCCTCAGCCTCCCCAGTAGCTGGGATCACAGGTGCATACCACAACTTCAGGGTCTTGCCATGTTGCCCAGGCTAGTCTTGAACTCCTGGGCTCAAGCAGTCTTCTCACTTTGGCCACTGAAAGTGTTGGGATTATAGGCATGAGTCATTGTGCCTAGTGCCTACTTAAGATTTTAGATATTTTTGGAACTTATTTTGTGGCTACCCCTTCTATAATATCTTATTGCATGTACTTGTTACCTTTATATAAAAATACTTATGTTTATGTTTCCCACTTCATTTCTTAATTTTTAAAGTATTAATCATTTTGATGTGATATAAAGGCTGATCTTAATATTATCAAAGGATTTGGTACATTTGTGTGCTTGATATTAATATAGTGACTTAAACTTGTACAGTTGAAATACAGTTTAAAAATAATAGATGGTTGAGGTGATATTTTCCTTTAAAAAATAGATATGGAAAAAGTCACATGTCAGAATTGTTAACATTCTTTATTTTTTTCTTTACCTGTATAGGATCAGTTGGTAAAAGAAGATAATATTGATGCAGTAGGTAAAAAACTGCAAGAATACCACTCTCAGTATCAAGAGAAGAGTAAAGAGTATGATAGGCTCTATGAAGAATATACGAGAACATCCCAGGTTGGTATATTTATGTTGTTTTGACTAGTATGTGTGCAATGTTTTAGTTACTTCAAATTTTCTGTCATTCGCTTGATGATCTTTAGCTGTTTTAATGTCTTAAAGGCTTAAACAGCCTTTTTGAAACTTGGATGATATAAATTCTCCTCCCTTCTTAATTGGTTAAGGATATAATTTGTATCAGTTAATATTAACTGGTCACAAGTGACAAAAAAAATAACAAAGGCTTTAGATAGAAATTTAGTTTTCTTTCATGTGTATATAGGAACTACAGGGGTGTTAGGGTAACTCCACTGTCCTCAGAACTTACAGGCATTTTCTGTCTTGATGCTTGGCTATCTGTGGAAGAGGGCTTACTCTAATATTGGCGGTCACAACCATATTCTAGTAAACAGGAAGGAAGAATAGGAAGGAGAAAGGAAAGTTCTCTATCTTTAAGACAACTTCCTAGAAGGAGCACACTCTGCTTTCACTTTTATCCCACTGGCTAGAACTAAGTCGCATGGTCATACCTAGCTACAGGTCACAGCTAGCTGTAGGGGAGGCTGAGAAATCTAGTTTTTATTTGGTCAGGTGTGCTCAACTAACGTGGGGATTTACTGAGGAAGAAGGAGCTGATGGATGGAAATTGTGGGCTTACTAGTAGACTTAACTACACAGTTTTTAGATCATTAACTTTAATAACCAGTAATACTTACTTTTCATATTTATGATGTAGAGCAAAATTCTATAGAATAATCTAGTTTCTTTCCTTGGACTTCTTATGCCTGACTACTTTGATTCTTTTTTAGCTAGACTTGGTTTAATTTGCCCTAAGTTGTCACATAGTTTGTCAAAAGTGTTTGGAATTTTAATGAAGCTGGGTATCTTCAGAGAAGTTTACTTTTTATAATATTTGGGTAGGAAGTGGCTTAGGAAAATATATTTAACTGTATTTCTCATGTACATTCTCTTGGAACACAAGTTATTACTTTGAATATCAAATGATTTATAGAAGCATTAGTCCATGTTGATTCTACTTAATTCCTAGTGAATTCTTAGTGCAACAGTAGCTTACCCTGGGCTCTTTCTAGTAGATAACAATAATGGATTTTTTTAGTGTTTACTTTCTATTTCATGAATTTCTGCTCTTTTTAATTTTTTTCTGCTTTTTTTCAGTTTAATTTTCTCTTTTCCTACTTCTTAAGGTGGAAATTTTGTTCATTCATTTAAAAACTTTCTTTTCTGGCCGGGCGCGGTGGCTCAAGCCTGTAATCCCAGCACTTTGGGAGGCCGAGACAGGCAGATCACGAGGTCAGGAGATCGAGACCATCCTGGCTAACATGGTGAAACCCTGTCTCTACTAAAAAATACAAAAAATTAGCCGGGTGTGGTGCCGGGCGCGGTGCCGGGCGCCTGTAGTCCCAGCTACTCGGGAGGCTGAGGCAGGAGAATAGCGTGAACCCGAGAGGCGGAGATTGCAGCAAGCTGAGATTCGGCCACTGCACTCCAGCCTGGGTGACAGAGCGAGACTCCATCTCAAAAAAAAAAAAACAAAAAACTTTCTTTTCTAAAATAAGCAGTTAAAGCAATACATTTTCCTCTAAGCACTGCATATATGCATCTCACAAATTTTGTCATACTCTGTTTTCCCTATTATTCAGTTTTTAATATTTTCTCTTTTTTTGTGATTTCTTCTTTCTCCCCTTGTGTTTTTAATTTCTAAATATTTGGGACTTTCAAATATATTATTTATTTCTAATTTAAGTTAATTTTGTTGTTAGTAAATATATTCATTAAAGTTATATTCTTTTGACATTTATTGACCTAGATTTTATTTTATTATTGATGTTTTTATGAGACAGAATCTTGCCCTGTCCCCCAGGCTGGAGTGAAGTGGCACCATCTCAGCTCACTGCAACCTCTGCCTCCCGGGTTCAAGCAATTCTCCTGCCTCAGCCTCCCGAATAGCTGTGATTACAGGTGTCCGCCACCATGCCTGGCAAATTTTTGTATTTTTAGTAGAGACAGGTTTTCACCATGTTGACCAGGCTGGTATCAAACTTCTGACCTCAGGTGATTTGCTCATCTCAGCCTCCCAAAGTGCTGGGATTACAGGCATGAGCCACTGTGCCTGGCCAGCTCTTTTTTTATTTTTATTTTTTATTTTACTTACTTTTTTTTTAAGTAGAAATGGGGTTTTGCCATGTTGGTCAGGCTGGTTGGTCTTGAACCCCTGACCTCAAGTGATCGACCTGACTCAGCCTCCCACAGTGCTGGGATTACAGGCATGAGCCACCATGCCCAGCCACAAACAAAGCCATAAACAACTCTTTAAGAAGCTTATCTGTGATTTGAAGAGAATTTTGGAATAAGAGTGCTTTTTTTTCAAAGTGTTGTTACCAGAGCTTGCTTATATGCTGCTAAGAAGGAATCATTAGACTGGGAGAGTTAATAATGTAAAAGGGGCTAGCTGATACGATAGAGTGAAGGACCCAGAAAGGAAAGGGAGCTGAGACCTAGAGCACGTGTAAATAAAGGGAGGGGAAGGGAGAGAAGAGGTGAACAGGTAGGTTTATAGTTTTGGTGGCAGGTGTAGTGGTATAGTGGCATTGTTTATGGGGGAGGTGCTGACTTAGTAGTGATGTCAAATACTTTTCCCTTTGCTGTTCTACTTACCGATATATATACCAGTGTTAATAAAATCTAAATTGTTAGTGTTTTCTTTGAAGATCCAGGGCCAGAACTTTATAGGTAATTTCTAACCTTGCAAGGGAGCTAAGGCTATCCACTATAATTTAAGAGTTGTAGAATTAGTACCAAGATATTTGGCATATGGGCATTCTAGTTAGTTTTTAATATTAAGATACATATGATGTAATCTCAACTGTATGGACTATCACAAGGTTCCAGCCTCCCTCATCTGCTAATCCTCTAATGTTCTAGCCCTACTGGGCAATTACTAATCCTTGAACATGCCTTGTTATTTTATGTATACATTATACCATGCCTCCTTTGTGCAGTGCTGCATTTTCTTCCTCTATCTCAGTTCTTTAAGACCTAGCTTAAGTGTCACCTCCTCTGTGAAGTCTCTGTAAAGCAATAAATAATTAGTTAATATCACTTGCTTGCCTCTTCCATGACATGAAACCAAACCTTATTAGAGTTCAGAAATCTATTCCACCCGTATATTCTGAGTCTTAGAGGGCAGGCTTCATGTTTCACGAATCTCTATCACCAGATGGTAATTTCTGTGTAGTGGATTCTCAATAATCAATTGTTGAAAATGACAAATGCTTAAACTGGGTGTGTGGTGCCCTCCTAAAGTCTCAACTAGTTGGGAAGCTGAGGTGGAGTGATCCCTTAAGCCCAGGATTTCAAGTCCAGCTTAGGCAACAGTTTTAAAAACACTAACCCACCCACCCACCCACCAGCAAAACCAAAACCCACCCCAGCCTAATAAGTGCTAGATAATGTAGGAATTATCCCGTAAGCATCAAAACTTCTAGAATTATAAACATTCAGGATAGCAGTTTTTCTAGACCCTTAGGCATATTTATTGCTTTTCTAAAAAACAAACTGAACAAAATTTAACCTTCTGAAGATTTTCAGGGAATCGTGATTTGGATGTTTTTTTGTTTTTGTTTTTGTTTTTGTTTTGAGACAAAGTCTTGCTCTGTCGCCCAGGCTGGAATGCAGTGACACAATCTTGGCTCACTGCAACTGCTGCCTCCCGGGTTCAAACGATTCTCTTGCCTCAGCCTCCTGAGTAGCTGGGATTACAGGCGTGTGCCACCATGCCTGGCTAATTTTTGTATTTTTAGTAGAGACGGGGTTTCACCATGTTGGTCAGGCTGGTCTCGAACTCCTGACCTCGTGATCCGCCCACCTTAGCCTCCCAAAGTGCTGGGATTACAGGCATGATCATCTTATTATTCTTAAGTGCATTGGACTTTAGCAGCTATTTTTCCCCTTTTCATTTTCTTGTAATCGGATTAATCTACTGATGAATCTGTTTGGAAAACTAAGCACATACTTGAGAAATGAGAGTAAGAATAAATAGACTTCATAAGACTCTTCTGGGAGTAAGTCTTTGTGCTTTGGTGCATGGACTCTTTAGCTCTATCCATTCACTCTTTCAGCACCTTTTGGGGAATAGCACTGTAATAGGTGCAAAATCAGAATTTGGTCCTTGTCTTCAAGGTGTTCAGGGTTAATCTCTCTTGGCAGCTCAGAGACCTTTCTGTGGTTCTTAGCGATATATTTCACATAATGGTTCTTTTTCATTTATTTATAGTTTTTAAAATTTTTTAAATTTTTTATTTTTTAAATGGAATCTTGTTCTGTCACCCGGGTTGGAGTGCAGTGGCATGATCTTGGCTCACTGCAACCTCTGCCTCCTGGGTTCAAGCGATTCTCCTGCCTCGGCCTCCTGAGTAGCTGGGATTACAGGCACCCGCCACCACGCCTGGCTAATTTTTGTACTTTTAGTAGAGACAGGGTTTTGCCATGTTGGCCAGGGTGTCTTGAACTCCTGACCTCAAGTGATCTGCCTGCCTCAGCTTCCCAAAGTGCTGGGATCACAGGTGTAAGCCACCACGCCTGGCCTATTTTATAGTTTAAATGATGTATTTTACATATAGGTAATAGAGTAGGGGTTGAATAAAAGCTCTTGTTTTAGTCCTCCTAAACAAGGGGAAAGACTTTTGAAAGACTAGGTGTTATATGGGATTACATTAATAACTAGAATTATAAAATTTAAGACCACGGTTAGAAGAAAATAATAAAGAATGAAGCCTGTGTTTTTTCTTTGTCTCTCTTGTAGGAAATACAGATGAAGAGGACTGCAATAGAAGCTTTTAATGAAACAATTAAAATATTTGAAGAGCAGTGTCACACACAAGAACAACATAGCAAAGAGTATATTGAGCGATTTCGCAGAGAGGGGAATGAAAAGGAGATTGAACGGTAAGTACTTAGTACCTCCAAGGGCATCAGTGAGACAGGATTTCTTTTCTTCCCCAATAATTTCTGTCTTGTTTGCTTTTGCCCCTCAAACTGCACAGCCCTACTATTGGAACCACTTGCTCTTTCCACTAATGGCACCAAGTTGAACTTCCTCTCTCCTCTGCTCTTTCTTCATTCTCCCAAATTAACTCCTGCTTATCCATTAGGACTTCAGGTTAGATACCATCTTTTCTAGAAATTGTTCCCTGATTCCGGAGACCAATTTAGGGGCTGTATTTTGGGTCCCTACAGTGTCTGGTCCTGATCCCTAGTGTAACATTTACTGAATGCCATGCCCACTCAACTGTAAACTCGTCGAGAGTAGGCATTGGTGGCTTATTTTCCCTGGTAGCCCTAGTACCTACGTATGTATGGGAGTACATAATGGGTGCTCATTGAATATTTTTTTGAAATGAAATCAACTTTGGCAGCAGTCTGAATAAATTGTAGTAGAACAAGACTAGGCAGGAACACCAGCCTGACTTGCACATGACTGCAGCGGTTGTGGTCATCAGGTTAAACGATAATGAGGGCCTGGACTAGAGAAGTAGCAGAAAAGAAGCGGGAGGTCATGGGAATGCTAAGGACTTTATGCCTGACCAGATATGGTAGGTGTGGGAGAAGTCAAAGATTATTCCTAGATTTCTGGTGTGAGAGACTGGAAGATGGTGTTTTGCACCCAAATAAAAAGTACATGAGGAGAGTCTAGGGTTGGAACCAGTGAGTTCGAGGTTCCTGTGAGAACACAAATGGAGCTCACTGGGGAGCAGGCAGCTGATTATTTGGATTTAGAACTTGGTATAGAAAGGATTTGGAAGGCATAGGTGTGTAGCTGATGGTAGATGCTAAGAATGAAATTACACAGAAAGAATGAGTGGCAGGAGAAGTAATGGATTTGATAACTAAAAGGATATTGAAAGCCTGTCAAAGCAAATTTAGTGGAGTATTGGAAGACTAAGCTAGATTGTAGTGGGTTGAGGAGTGCTAAAATAGATAATAAATATAAGTAATTAATATGCAATGGAAAAGCAAAATTATTTCTCATATTAGGACCACAGTATTAGTGTATTTCTGTGTGCATGAGTTTAGAGCTAAGTGCTGTGAGGCAGTGTAGCTTAATGGCATGAGTTTAGAGCTAAGTGCTGTGAGGCAGTGTAGCTTAAATGATTAAAACTATGGGCTTGAATTCTGAATTGGCCGTTTTGTTAGCTGTATAACCTTAGGTGAATTACTTAACTTTTCTCAGTCTGTTTTCTCTTCCATAAACTGAATAATATCTTGTTGGAATGCTAGAGAATTAAGTAATATAGATTTTGGTACATGATGGGCTTTCAGTAAATGATAATTATTTATTTATTTGAGATGGAGTCTCTCTGTGTTGCCCAGGCTGGAGTGCAGTGGTGCCATCTCGGCTCACTGCAACCTCCGTCTCCTGGGTTCAAGTGATTCTTGTGCCTCAGCCTCCTGAGTCACTGGGATTTTACAGGCACCCACCACCATGCCTGGCTACTCTTTTGTATTTTTTAGTAGAGACGGGGTTTCACCAGATTGACCAGACTGGCCTTGAACTGCTGACCTCAGGTGATCCACCCGCCTTGGCCTCCCAAAGTGCTGGGATTACAGGCTTGAGCCACTGCGCCCGGCCTAATGATAATTATTATTAACGATGAAGAAACAGAAAAGGATTTGTAGTTTTGTTGCAGAGGGAAATAAAGTAGCATGATAATGTTTTGTTTCATTTTATTTATTTATTTTTTTGAGACAGAGTCTTGCTGTGTCACCCAGACTGGAGTGCAGTGGTGCGATCTCGGCTCACTGCACCCTCTGCCTCCTGGGTTCAAGTGATTCTGCTGCCCTAGCCTCCCAAGTAGCTGGGTTTATAGGTGCATGCCACCACACCTGGCTGATTTTTGTATTTTTGGTAGAGATACGGTTTCATCAAGTTGGCCAGGCTGGTCCTGAGCTCCTAATCTCAGGTGATCCACCCACCTTGGCCTCCCAAAGTGCTGCAATTACAGGCATGAGCCACTGTGCCCAGCCTATTTTATTTTTTTATTTTTTGAGGTAGGGTCTTGCTCTGTTGCCCAGGCTGGAATGAAGTAGCATGATCATGGTTCACTGCAGCCTCAACCTCCTGGGCTCAAGGGATCCACTTGCCTCAGCCTCCCGAGTTGCTAGGACTACAGGCAAGCGCCACTGCACTGGCTAATTTTTAAAAATCTTTTTGTAGAGATGGGGTCTTGAACTCCTGGGTTCAAGCAATCCTCTGCCCTCAGCTTCCCAAAGTGCTGGGATTACAGGTGTGTGTCCAGTCTGTGAAGTTTTAATAGTAATATAAAGCCACATATTGAGTGACAAGGGAATAATGTAGACAGTTGTTACCATAAGGGTTCAGAGCATAGCAAAACTTTGTGTGTTGGAAAAGCTTATAGCCATCATCTGTTGAGTGCTTACCAAGATAATGTCAGGAAATGTTCTTTCCTTTACATGTATTGTCACATTTAATTAACAGAAAATCCCGGTGAAGTAAGTACTGTTGTAGGTACCCATTTGTATTAGTCCATTTTCATGCTGCTGGTAAAGACATACCTGAGACTGGGGCAGTTTACAAAAGGAAGAGGTTTAATTGGACTTACAGTTCCAGGTGGCTAGGGAAGCCTCACTCACAATCACGGTGGAAGGGAAGGAAGAGCAAGTCACATCTTACGTGGATGGCAGCAGGCAAAGAGAATGAGGAAGATGCAAAAGCAGAAATCCCTGATAAAACCATCAGATCTCGTGAAACTTATTCACTACCATGAGAACAGTATGGGGGAAACCACCTCCATGATTCAGTTGTTTCACCCTGGTCCCTCCCACAACATGTGGGAATTATGGGAGTACAATTCAAGAGGAGATTTGGGTGGGGACACAGCCAAACCACATTATTCTGCCCCGGCCCCTCCCAAATCTTGTATCTTTACATTTCAAAACCAATTATGCATTCCTAACAGTCCCCAAAGTCTTAACTCATTTCAGCATTAACTCCAAAGTCCACAGTCCAAAGTCTCATCTGAGACAAGGCAAGTCCTATGAGCCTGTAAAATCAAAAGCAAGCTAGTTATTTCCTAGATACAATGGGGGTACAGACATTGGGTAAATACAGCTGTTCCAAATGGAAGAAATTGGCCAGAACAAAGGGGCTACAGGGTCCATGCAAGTCTGAAATCCAGCAGGGCAGTCAAATCTTAAAGCTCCAAAATGGTCTCCTTTGACTCCATGTCTCACATCCAGTACATGCTGATGCAAGAGATGGGTTCCCATAGTCTTGGGTAGCTCGCCCCTGTGGCTTTGCAGGGTACAGCCTCCCTCCTGGCTGCTTTCACAGGGTGGCCTTGAGTGTCTGTGACTTTTCCAGGCACACAGTGTAAGGTGTCAATGGATCTACCATTCTGGGATCTGGAGGACAGTGGCCCTTTTCTCACAATGCCACTAGGCGGTGCCCCAGTAGGAACTCTCTGTGGGGGCTTTGACCCCGCATTTCCCTTTCACACTGCCCTAGCAGAGGTTCTCCATGAGGGCTCTGCCCCTGCAGCAAACTTCTGCCTGGGCATCCAGGTGTTTCCATACATCTGAAATCTAGGCGGAGGTTCCCAATTCTTGACTTCTGTGCACCTGCAGGCTCAACACCACATGGAAGCTGCCAAGGCTTGGAGCTTGTACCATCTGAAGCCATGGCCTGAGCCCTATGTTGGCCCCTTTCAGCCATGGCTGGAGTGGTTAGGATGCCAGGCATCAAGTCTCTAGGCTGCACACAGCTCAGGGACCCTGGGCCTAGCCAACGAAACTCCTTTTTCCTCTAGGCCTCCGGGCCTTGATGGGAGGGGCTGCCTTAAAGACTTCTGACATGGCCTGGAGACATTTTCCCCATTTTCTTGAGGATTAACATTTGGCTTCTTGTTACTTATGCAAATTTCTTCAGCTGGCTTGAATTTTTCCTCAGAAAATGGAATTTTATTTTCTATTGCATTGTCAGGCTGCAAATTTTTCAAACTTTTATGCTCTATTTCCCTTTTAAAACTGAATGCTTTTAAGAGCACCCAAGTAACCTCTTGAATGCTTTGCTGCTTAGAAATTTCTTCTGCCAGATACCCTAAATCATCTCCCTCAAGTTCAACATTCCACAAATCTCTAGGGCAGGGGCAAAATGCCATCAGTCTCTTTGCTAAAATATAACAAGAGTCACCTTTGCTCCAGTTCGCAACAAGTTCCTCATCTCCATCTCAGACCACCTCAGCCTGGACCTTATTGTCCATATGACTATCAGCATTTTGGGCAAAGCCATGCGACAAATCTCTAGGAAGTTCCAGACTTTCCCACATTTTCCTGTCGTCTTCTGAGCCCTTCAAACTGTTCCAACTTCTGCCTGTTACCCGGTTTTAAGGTTGCTTCCACATTTTCAGGTATCTTTTCAGCAATGCCTCACTCTGCTAGTACTAATTTACTAAATTAGTCCATTTTCATGCTGCTGATAAGGACATACCCAAGACTGGGCAATTTACAAAAGGAAGAGGCTTAATTAGGCTGACAGTTCCACGTGGCTGGGGAAGCCTCACAGTCATGGTGGAAGGCAAGGAGGGACAAGTCCTGTCTTACATGGATGACAGCAGGCAAAGAGAGAATGAGGAAGATGCAAAAGCAGAAACCCCTGATAAAACCATCAGATCTTTTGAGACCTGTTCACTACCATGAGAACAGTATGGGGGAACCGCCCCCATGATTCAATTTTCTCTTCCCGGGTCCTTCCTACAACCTGTGGGAATTATGGGAGTACAATTCAAGATGAGATTTGGGTGAGGGCACAGCCAAACTATATCACCATTTTAAACAGATGAGGAAATGAAGGCACTGAGACGTTAAATAATTTGCCCATGGCCCCACAACAAGTGACAGCAGAGATTCAGACGTAGGTTGCAAAACCATAGTTCTTAACTGTTGTGTTGTGCTACCTCTTGAATATCAAACGTATAGCTTTACTTGTTCAGTCATTGCTGGATTCAGGGCCCAAACAAGGTTATTGAGATTCTCTCTCACATTGTATTTTAGCTCAGTTTTTCTCTGGGTTGATTTTATTCTCAGGCAGGCTTTGCCAGTGAAGTGACAGTATAGCTGCTGGGATGAGAACTGCATATTCATAATTTAGCAATTCTTGTGGAAAGAGATAATTTATTTTAACAATACAGTTCTAGCAAATGTTCTAGAATTGACTCTCATTGGATCAGTTTGAGTCTTACTCCTATTCCTGAACCAGTCACTGTGGTCTGAGGGTAGGGATGGGATAGAGTGGAATATTCTTATTGGCCAGTCTGGGCCATGTGTGTTTACATCCCTGGATCTGAGATGGGGGAATGAATCCTTACCTCCAGGGAACATCAGGGTGCTAATACCAGAAACGGGAATGGATATGGGCCAGGCAAAAACAAATCTTCACCCCGCATAAGATATTAGAACCTCACTGGGTGCAATGGCTCACACCTGTAATCCCAGTACTTTGGGAGGCTGAGACAGGCAGATCACCTGAGGTTAGGAGTTTGAGACCAGCCTGGTCAACATGACAAAACCCTGTCTCTGCTAAAAATACAAAAATTAGCTGGGTGTGGTAACACGTGCCTGTAATCCCAGCTACTGGGGAGGCTGAAGCAGGATAGTTGCTTGAACCCGGAAGGCAGAGGTTGCAGTGAGCTGAGATCATGCCACTACACTCCAGCCTGGGGTGACAGAGCAAGACTCAATCTCAAGGAAAAAAAAAAAAAAAAAAAAAAAAAGGATATTAGGACCATGCTCACTCAGTAGGATCTGTCTGCTTGATTTCTATTTTAGCCTTAACATGTCACATATTTTTACAGAATTATGATGAATTATGATAAATTGAAATCACGTCTGGGAGAGATTCATGATAGCAAAATGCGTCTAGAGCAGGATTTGAAGAAACAAGCTTTGGACAACCGAGAAATAGATAAAAAAATGAATAGTATCAAACCTGACCTGATCCAGCTGCGAAAGATCCGAGATCAACACCTTGTGTAAGTAGTCTGGGAGTGTATGGGGAGGGAGACACTAGTGCCATGTTACTACCAGCACTAGAGATGTCAGAGGTGGGAGAAGAGATTTGTAATTGAGAATTGGCCAGTAAGATGGTAAGAATTTAGGAAAATGGCCTTGGTAGTTGTAGGGGGTACCAGAGTTAATCTGAAGTTAATATGTGGAGCAAACCAGAATGTAGGATTCTTGATTCATAGAAATGCCTTGGAAATCTCAGAGGCTGGCTGTGGCATGAGTAAAATGCTATACCTTAAGAAGAACAGATTAATGTTTGCTTAAAACATAAAAATCAGAATCTTTGTTTACACAGTGGAACTGAGTGGGGAATTTCTATTTCCTCTGAGGGGAAATAGGTTCTAGGCTGGGCACAGTGGCTTACGCCTGTAACCCCAGCACTTTGGGAGGCCAAGGTAGGCAGATCATCTGAGGTCATGAGTTCAAGACACCAGCCTGGCCAACATAGTGAAACTCCGTTTCTACTAAAAATACAAAAATTTGCTGGGTGTGGTGGCACATGCCTGTAATCCCAGCTACTCAGGAGGCTGAGGCAGGAGAATCACTTGAACCCTGGAGGCAGAGGTTGCAGTGAGCCGAGATCACGCCGCTGTACTCCAGCCTGGGTGACAGAGTGAGACTCCATCTCAAAAAAAAAAAAAAAAGATGATGAAACCCCGTCTGTACTAAAAATACAAAAAATTAGCTGGGCGTAGTAGTGGGTGCCTGTAGTCCCAGCTACTTGGGAGGCTGAGGCAGGAGAATCGCTTGAACCTGGGAGGCAGAGGTTGCAGTGAGCCAAGATCGTGCCACTGCACTCCAGCCTGGACAAGAGTGAGTCTCAAAAACAACAACAACAAAAACAAAATGACGTTCTTTATTTAAATAACAGAAATGTGTCCATAGAAGGCACTTGAGGTAATTTGAGTAGTGAAACCTAATTCTTTAAGATTAGGGAAAACTATATAATTTAGCTAAATATAGGCATAATAGAGATAATATCCACATATAAATGGAAAGATAGTATCAGAATAAAATGTATGAATTATATTTTTAGAAACTTAAGTAACTGCTTCATAGGACAGAATGCATGAGAAAGGAACATACTGGATATTGGGCTTAGTTCTAGGTAACAAATAGGCTGTTCTGAAATACATTTATGGGTGGCCTTGATGCATGTAACACCACTCAATTCAAACTACCGGCAGGAGAAAACAGAGCAGAGACCTCTGAATCTGGGTTTTCCATAGAAACCCTGGGTTCTTTGTGTGAGAAAGAGGGAGAAGATGAAATATATACCCAGAGATTGGAACTGTGGCAGAAGAGTTTCAGTAGAGGAAGATTTAAGATGATTTTTCTTTTTTCTGAGACGGAGTCTCACTGTGTCACCTAGGCTGGAGTGCAATCGCATGATCTCAGCTCACTGCAACCTCCACCTCCTGGGTTCAAGTGATTCTCCTACCTCAGTCTTCCGAGTAGCTGGGTATACAGGCATGCACCACCATGCCCAGCTAATTTTTGTATTTTTAGTAGAGACGGGGTTTCACCATGTTGACCAAGCTGGTCTCAAGCTCCAGACCTTAGGTGATCTACCCACCTTGGCCTCCTAAAGTACTGGGATTACAAGCATGAGCCACTGTTCCTGGCCTAAGGTGACATTTTTTTGGGATAAACAATTACAACTACACCATGCTGAGTAGTTTTTAATAACAGCCCTCTCAAGAGATCATTTTAATTTGCTATTGTGGCCAAAAGTCAAGCTGAGTGTATATAGCATACCGAAGAGCTTTGTAAAGAAGGCAAGGAGGTGCTCTCATCTGTAAGAAGGGTGTGTCTGCTCTTGGAATGCTCATGTGGTTCTGGTCACATCATGAAGCTGAAGAAAGGCCCAAGAAGGCTATGCTATACACCAAAATCATGAATGGAAGTCCTTCTTTGCCCTGAAAAGCAATAAGAAATACAAGGAATATACCATCCCAAGGGGCATGAATAAGTGTAATGTCTTAGTCTGTTTAGGCTGCTATAACAAAATACCATAAATTGGGTAGCTTGTAAACACCATGAATTTCTCTTCTAGAGACTAGGAAGTCCAAACTCAAGGCACTGGCAGATTTGGTGTCTGGTGAGGGGTGAGGATCTGCTTTCTGGTTCATAGATGGTGCCTTCTACCTATGTCCTGGTAGAAGGAGCTAGGGGTCTCTATCAGGCCTCTTTTATAAGGGCACTAATCCCATTCCTGAGGGCTCTGCCTTTATGACCTAATCACCTCCCAAAGTCCTCACCTCCAAATACCATCACCTTGAGGGTTAGATTTTCCACCTGTGAATTTTGGGAAGATACTAACATTCAGACTATAGCATGTGACAAACCAGACCTTGGAAGTTTCTTTAATGGGTTGTATAAACTAAATACAGAAGAAAGAAATAAAACAACAACAACAAAAAGACAACAGCAACAAAAAACCATACACACCAAAAAACCACAAAAAACAACACAACACAACAACAACAACAAATATAAAAGAGTTTAGATAACATCATGGATGACAAATTCATGACCTACAAGTAAGGACAACTCAAGTGTAGGGAGACACAGACAGTCATTACCTCTTTTGGAAGGGCTGCTTCCAGGAGAACAGTTTAGTGTCCCGTAGTCCATGCTTTGATGTTTCTAACAGAGAACTGTCTCTGGGCTTGGTGGACTCAATCTATTCTAATACTGGAATTTATGTTGTCAGTACTGAAGGAGACTGTAGTAAAATATGTGTCTCATATTAGCGTTGCTGCATGATGCTGAGTATGATCTCTCTCTGGTCCTGTTTTAAAGGAATAGATTGGGATTCTGTGATACCTAGCTCAAGATTGTCATCAGTTCTTTAAGCCCTCTTTGGATGTGGTCATTTCCCTGACTGGTCACTGCATAGCCCACAAGGATTCTATGTGATTGTCTGCTGAGATCTTGGTGTACTGCTAGTAGGATATTCTTGAGTGTTTAAATACAGAATTTCATTGCTTAAATATAGAAAAAAAATATATGATATAATTCCATTTATTGGAAGCTCAAGAATAGGTAAAACCTATCTATGATGATAGAATTAAAAATAGTGATTATTTATGGTGAGGATTTTGATGGGAAAATGGGATGAGGAACCTTTAACGGTTCTAGAAATGTTCTGAATCTTGATATGAGTGGGGTTCCATGGGTTTATACATAGGTTAAAATTTATCATTAGTACACTTAAGATTAATGTGCTTTATGTGTATTATAACTCAATAAATACATTAAACATTTCTTAGGTATCAGTTTTTTTAAAAATTCCCTTTCAAAAAAAGGAATTTTGTTGTTAATATGCAGTCTTTTTCCTCATAAGTTTAAGGCTAGCTTTCATGATTACTATTTACGTTTTTTGGTACTGTAGACCCCTTGGTCCATGGCTTTGCTTATTGTGGTTTTGCTTTCCATGTGTTCTGGTATCCCCAGTCAGCCACAGTCTGGATAGGTGAATACAGCACAATAACACATTTTGAGAGAGACCACATTCACATCACTTTTATTCCAGCATATTGTTATATTGTTCTGTTTTATTATTAGTTATTGTTAATCCCTTACTGTGCTTAATTTATAAATTAAATGATCACAGGTATGTATGTATAGGGAAAAACAGTATATATAGGGTTTAGTACTTTCTGTAGTTTCAGGCATCTATTTGGTTGTCTTAGAACTACTCCCCATGGATAATCAGGGACTGCAGTATTCATAAATCAAAATTCATAAATTTAAAATAAAGAATAACGGCCATAACAATATAGGTACATAATGATGAGGGTTTTTTAAATGCATATTCTGCTTAGAGAATTGATGAGTTTTGAGTAATATATGTACTAGGGGAATTTGCAGATAAAGGAGTTCTATGTGGCCGGGTGCAGTGACTCACACCTGTAATCCCAGCACTTTGGGAGGCCTAGGCAGGTGGATCACCTGAGGTCAGGAGTTCGAGACCAGCCTGGCCAAGATAGTGAAACCCTGTCTCTACTAAAAATATAAAAATTAGTCAGGCATGGTGGCACATGCCTGTAATCCCAGCTAGTCAGAAGCCTGAGGCAGGAGAATTGCTTGAACCTGGGAAGTGGAGGTTGCAGTGATCTGAGATCACCCCACTGCATTCTAGCGTGGGCAACACAATGAGATTCCGTATTAAAAAAAAAAAAAAAAAAGGAAAAAACCACAATGAGATACCATCTCACACCAGTTAGAATGGCAATCATTAAAAAATCAGGAAACAACAGGTGCTAGAGAGGATGTGGAGAAATAGGAACATTTTTACACTGTTGGTGGGACTATAAACTAGTTCAACCATTGTGGAAAACAGTGTGGCGATTCCTCAAGGATCTAGAACTAGAAATACCATTTGACCCAGCCATCCCATTACTAGGTATATACCCAAAGGATTATAAATCATACTGCTATAAAGACACATGCACACGTATGTTTATTGCAGCACTATCCACAATAGCAAAGACTTGGAATCAACCCAAATGTCTATCAGTGACAGACTGGATTAAGAAAATGTGGCACATATACACCATGGAATACTATGCAGCCATAAAAAAGGATGAGTTCGTGTCCTTTGTAGGGACATGGATGAAAGCTGGAAACCATCATTCTCAGCAAACTATCGCAAGAACAGAAAACCAAACACCGCATTTTCTCTCATAGGTGGGAAGTGAACAATGAGATCACTTGGACACAGGAAGGGGAACATCACACACGGGGCCTATTGTGGGGAGTGGGGAGGGAGGAGGGATAGCATTAGGAGACATACCTAATGTAAATGACGAGTTAATGGGTGCAGCACACCAACATGGCACATGTATACATATGTAACAAACCTGCATGTTGTGCACATGTACCCTAGAACTTAAAGTATAATAATAAAAAATAAATAAATGAAAAAAAAAGGAGTCCTGTGGAGGGTGGTGTGTTCTGGTTTTATTTTTTGTTTTTACAGCTTTATTGAGATACAGTTTACATCCCATACAGTTCACCCATTTAAAGTGTATTATTCAATGCTTTTAGTATCTTCACAGGTATTTACAGTCATCACCACATATTTTAGAACATTTTCATCACCTTAAAAAAAACCCTGCACCCTTTACTTATCATCCCTATTACTCCCTGAATCTAGCCCTAAACAACTGCTAATCTACTTTCTGTCTCTATGGACTTGTCTATTCTGGACATTTCATATGAATGAAAATAATGTAAAATGTACTCTTTTGTGACTGGCTTCTTTCACTTAGCATGGTGTTTTCAAAGTTTGTCTGCGTTGTAGCATATATCAGTATTTCATTCCTTTTTATGGCCAAATAATAGTCTGTTGTATAGTTATGCCACATTTTGTTTAATCATCACCAGTTGGTGGACATTTGGGTTATTTCTGTCTTTTTGGCTATTTCAGTAATGCTGCTGTGAACATTTATATACAGGTTTTTGAATGGATATGTATTTTCATTTCTCATGGGTATATGCTGAGGAGTGAAATTCCTGAATCATATGGTAATTATCTGTGTTTCACTGAACAACTGCCCAGACTGCTTGCGTAGTGGTTGCACTATTTTACATTCACACCAGTAGTGATAATTTGGGTTTCTTAAAGTAATGAATCATTCTTTATTTCTTTTTTTTTTTTTGAGATGGATTTTTGCTCTTTTTGCCCAAACTGGAGTGCAGTGGTGTGATCTTGGCTCACTGCAACCTCTGCCTTCTGGGTTCAAGCAATTCTCCTGCCTCAGCCTCCTGAGTAGCTGGGATTATAGGCGTGCACCACCACCTCCAACTAATTTTTGTATTTTTAGTAGAGATGGGGTTTCACCATGTTGGCCAGGCTGGTCTCAAACTCCTGACCTCAGGTGATCCACCTGCCTCAGCCTCCCAAAGTGCTGGGATTACAGGCATGGAGCCACCACACCTGGCCTCATTCTTCAATATATTTCTGATAACTAAATTTTTATAAGCGATTTTTCTTTTTAAAGTATTGTATACATTATCGCACTTTGTTTTTATGTGGAGAATATGTCTGTCCATAAAATTTGGTGGAAGACAAGTTTCATTCCTTTTTTTTTTTTTTTTTTTTGGAGACAGAGTTTCACTCTTGTTACCGAGGCTGGAGTGCAATGGTGCGATCTCGGCTCACTGCAACCTCTGCCTTCCAGGTTCAAGTGGTTCTCCTGCAACAGCCTCCCGAGTAGCTGGGATTACAGGCATGCCCCTCCACGCTCGGCTAATTTTTTGTTTTTTTAATAGGAACGGGGTTTCACCGTGTTAGCCAGCCTAGTCTTGAACTCCTGATCTCAGGTCATCCACCTGCCTCGGCCTCCCAAAGTGCTGGGATTACAGGCATGAACCACTGTGCCCAGCCACATTCCTCATTTAAAATAAATAAATAAATAAATAAATAAATAAATAAATAAATCTATTTCAAGCTCCTACTGGCCTGGTTACATTAAAAATACTTAATCTCTGTTATCATGCCTACCTCCTACACAGACTGACACTTGGATCATATAAGAATGTCATCCTGAAGTAGTGTCAGAAAATTAGAGGAGCACAAGGTCTTTTGTGCCTCCCTCTTGACTGCTGAAAATTCCAAGGTGTCCTTCACAGTAATCTCATCACTGGCCACCAACAGATGCTGCGTCGTAAAACCTCATTCTCCATCCAGGATGCCCTGTGCATGAGGCACTGTTTTCTGTCACCCCACTTTCTACTTCAGCGAGGCTCTAGACAAGCTTCTGCTTTCTTCCAGGACCAAGGCGTCAGCTTTAAAGTCGTTTTTCCTGTCCTTCTCTCTCAGGGTTTTCCCAGCTTAATCCTTTTGTCTTAGACTGAAACACAAGCTCTCTTCCTCTGAAAGTGTGGTAGTTGGGCTGTAAAACCAATTAGATCTTTAGAAAGGACACTATATAATACATATTTTTTCCCTTACTTGCTGGGGTAGGGCTAGGAAAAGATATGCTAACACCAGCTATTTTTTCTGTCTTGTATTTCTTATGATGTAATCTGTGGAAGTAGTGTTTTCCCTTTTTTTTTTTTTTTTTTTTTTTTTAAAGAAGAAATAGCTGCGCCAAGGAGAGATGGGTCCAAGACCATGCCAAAAAATATGTTTATATAGTATCCTTTCTAAAAATCTAATTGGTTTTACAACCCAGTTGCCACACTAACAGAATCAGAACTGGATGTTAGGTCTTTGAATGTTTTGCCTTAGATTTTTCCTGTAGAATTTATTGCATTATTTGTGATCAGCGCATTATTCAATAACATTAAATGTGAATTAACATATTTACTAAAGTCATTAGAAGTTTTTGAAAATGGTTTTTAAATCTAATCAGCTCCTGGCATTGTTAATAGGTTTGTAAGGACTCAGAACTAGATAAGTCTTTGAAATGGACTTTTGGGAGATTGGAAAAGCTGCCTAAGTCAGAAGGTAGGCACCATCATAAATGGAGGGTGGAGCAAAAGCAATTTTTCTTTTTCTTTTTTTTTTTTTCATTAGGAAAGTGCTAGGAAATGGGTTCCTAACACTGTGTGTCACTGAAAGAGAGGCTCAGTTTAAAGAGGTTGGTGGGTAAAAGAAAATGGGGATTCAAGAGAAAATGTGGTACATTAATTCAATTCACGCCTTTTTACCCAGTGTGCTTATTTCTTTGATAAAGAGAAGGTCAGTTTCTTTGAGGATAGAAAACTTTGGGTGATAAGAATGCTTAGAGGAGGGCATCTGGATATTTTGATGACAGACATGGTGTGGGGGAGGGGGTTTGTTACTAAATCAGTTGTATCAAGATCACATATTATCTATTTTCCAGTTTCCCTAAGCATAAAAAATGAAATCCAAGTTAACTAAAGGGCAAGTCTTACTGAGAAAGACTGTGAAATCTGTCTAACAGAACTTTAAAATTAGGTGTGATGCCAAGTTATCTTGTGTACTTGGGGTCAGAGAGAGAGGATGATCCTGGAGTTGTGAAGATTTTGTTAAAAGCAGCCCACCAGCAAATATTTACTGACAGTTGAATATCTATGTGCATGTGCTGTTTTAATAATTGGTAACATAGCCACGAACAGGACAGACTCCTTTCATTACAGCAGCTTACATTTTATTAGGGAGGGAGACAGACAAATGCAAATATAAAATAGGCCTGGCACAGTGGCTCACGCCTGTAATCCCAGCACTTTGGGAGGCCAAGGTGGGTGGATCACCTGAGGTCAGGAGTTCGAGACCAACCTGACCAACGTGGTGAAACCCTGTCTCTACTAAAAATACGAAAATTAGCTGGGCGTGGTGGCGCATGCCTGTAGTCCCAGCTGCAGAGGCAGAGGTGAGAGAATTGCTTGAACCCTGGAGACGGAGGCTGCAGTGAGCCGAGATCGTGCCATTGCATTCCAGCCTAGGTAACAGAGCGAGACTCCATCTCAAAAAAACAAAACAAAACAAAAAAACAAAAAAACCAAAACCAACCAACCAAACAAAAATATAAAATAATGGATTTTAACTAAGTGCTATGAAGATGATAAAACAAGGTAAAGTGTAGAGAGTGACTGGCGACTGCCTTAGTTGGGACAGTTAGGGTCGTCCTCCCTGAGGGGATGGTGTTTATGATAAAACCTGAATGATAGGAGCCTTGCTTAGTGGGTAATGATGAATGAAGGTGCTTTCCACTCCTCCACCCTAGTTTTAGACTGTTGGCCATCTGAAAGGAACAAAATGTGCTGGTTTACCTCATTTTACATCTAAAATACTGGTATATTTTAAGAGATACTATGATTTTCTTTTTTTTTTTTTTGAGATCGAGTCTCGCTCTGTCGCCCACGCTGGAGGGCAGTGGTGCAATCTTAGCTCACTACAGCCTCTGTCCCCTGGTTTCAAGCTTAATTCTCCTGCCTCAGCCTCCTAGTAGCTGGGATTACAGGCATGCACTACCATACCTGGCTAATTTTTGTATTTTTAGTAGAAATGGGGTTTGATTATGTTGGCCAGGCTGGTCTTGAACTCCTGACCTCAGGTGATCCACCTGCCTTGGCCTCCCAAAGTGCTGGGATTACAGGCATGAACCACTGAGCCCAGCCTGGATACTGTGATTTTCTTGGTAATGAAGTTCACTCATTAATTACTCAAGATTGCCACCCTGAATTTCTTGTGGCCTGCTTAAATGCAAAAATAGATCTTGAAGTTTTTAGTTGAAATATTAAACTCAATTCAGTAGGTCACACGGAAAGTGGGTTCTCAGGCTTAGTGGAGATTGCCAACGTGACACCATGCTCACCTAACTAATGTTTTCAGAAACGAATGTCCCACTGTGAGTGCCAGTATGTATGTGCTTGTGGTGGCACATCTTCCAGAAAAGAAAAATGAAAAGTGAAGGGCCTCATTTCAAGTAGCCCTTTATGTTTCTGCCTTTTTCCAGAAAAGATCAGTTCATCTTGATAGTAGTTGAAAGAAAAGTAATGAGAGACTATTTTGAGAAATCTTTGCCCACTCTTTGTGGGATTAGGAAAAACAAGAGGTGCCTAGACTCTAGAAGTTTAGTCGGCTCAGACATAGCTACTTTGTCCAGTCAGAGTTTGCATAGATACTGACACTGGTGTCTTTCCTCTGGCAGATGGCTCAATCACAAAGGGGTGAGACAGAAACGCCTGAATGCCTGGCTGGGAATTAAGAATGAGGATGCTGATGAGTAAGTTCTCTCTAGACCTTTCGGTCAGAGGGCTTTGTTATCAGTATAAGACATGTGCCTTGTTTATACATGGTAAATATTGGTTGTCATTGTCACTTGAGGACATTGAATCTAGAACTTTGACTCTCTTTTGAATTGAATTGAATTGCCTGAAAGTACCCTATAGGCACTGGAGTTCAGAGACCTGCCTCTGAACTCAAAATCTGGATGTATAAGCTACTTTGAGTATAGCTACTCAAAATCTGGATGTAAAAGCACCGTTATTCAGATGTTCATATGTCAGCTTATTGGATGAAACATGAATTCTGTACTTTATGCACCATAGCAAGTAATGAAGCTAACACCCAACTAATTGCAATTTTGCTTTGTCATTTGTGGTTTAAAGATTTAGAAGAGTGTTTCATTTATGAATTTGCTTTTAGATAGAAGTAACTGTTAGAATAACAATTAACATTTAATTTTTAGGAACTATTTTATCAATGAGGAAGATGAAAACCTGCCCCACTATGATGAGAAAACCTGGTTTGTTGAGGATATCAATCGAGTACAAGCAGAGGACTTGCTTTATGGGAAACCTGATGGTGCATTCTTAATTCGTGAGAGTAGCAAGAAAGGATGCTATGCTTGCTCTGTGGTGTAAGTCTTCTCTGGGGATATAGCCTTTTGAAATCTTTTGCATTAATTAATATGAAAACAACCCCTTGTAAAATTCAGATGAAATTAGTTAATGTACAGTAACGAGGACCCATGGCTTGGACCATAACTATTAGTACAAAAAAACCCAGCTTTATGAGGAATGATATCTGAAATTATCCTGGAGTTTTAATTTACATGGTAAGTAGATTAGGCCCTGCAGTGTTGCTGTTGGATTTCAGGTATCTGTGAAAGGTAATGTGAGATCTTAAATTGGAAAAAAAAAAAATCACTTAATTCTTGAGTAGTATCCTATACGCCTAGTATGGTCTCCAGTGTCAGATTAGGAAAGGCTTGATTAAATAGAACTGTTTTTACTTCAGAAGGAAAACTCTATCTAAAAATTTAAATTATATATTATTCTGTTGATGTAGTGATAGGAAATGTGGACGTGTTTTCCGTAAGATAATCATGTGACTCTTTTGAGAAAAGCTCATTTTCCTTGTAATGGAAAGTGAAATTTTGGGGATAACTAACTGTGCCTCGGTCAGATTTTTGCCTGAGTGTGGAATATATTCCTTAAGAAGGCAAACATCTTCATTGACAAAAGCCACACTTAGAAAAGAGTTACAATGGTGCCAGATATACTGGGTTCAGCTCCTGGCTCTACTGCTTACTAGCTGGGTCACCTTGGGTAAATTACTTAGTCTTTGCCCAGTTTCCTTATCTGTAAAATAAGGATAATACCTACTTTAGGGTTTTTGTGAGGATTAAATGAGCTAATCTATGTCATACAATATGCTTTTAACATAAGAAGTGAATGTCACCTACTAATATGATGATGATGATACTACTGATGGATGTGGCAGAAGGCAAACAAAGTGACAAAGTGATTGTGCCCTTAGAGGGCAAAGTGGAGAAGATAGAGGAAAGGCATTCATATTAACAGACTGCTCAGTGCTTTATGTGATCATCTTGTTTGTAGCGCTCTACTTCTGTCATGGAGTCAGAGTTTGAATCCAAGTTTACGTGGTTTCAAAACCCACATTTTTCTATTGCACCAGGCTTTTTTCATTTCACCAAATATCCAAGATGAATAGAACCACTGTGAAATAAGTATCATTAGTAGGCTGTGCACATGTGGAAGGGTTAATTCTAGTGGAGAAAGAGCGGATTGGGAGGTTTTGTGGAAAAGGCATCTGAGATGGACCTCAAAAAGATGAATGGGATGTCTTACGGTTGGAAAATGGGGGAGGAGTTGAAAAGTGCATTGGATTACTGTTATCCAAAGATAGAACTACTTGCAACATTTCATTTCTCCTTGACTTGGGCTATTCAAGTTATCTGAGTGGAAATGTAGGTGAGGATGGTTCTTGTAAGACTTTGGGTCTTCTAAGAATAATAAGAAAGGCAGGAAGCCCAGTTGCTCACTCACTCAGGTTATTGGGTGGCAGCCTGTAGGTTCAGGACTTGGTTGGAGTCCTTACATAAACTGAATAATCAAAAACTACCCTTGGCTGGGCGCAGCGGCTCATACCTGTAATCCCAGCATTTTAGTAGGCTAAGGCAGGAGGATTCCTTGAGCCCAGGAGTTCACGACCTGCCTGGGCAACATAGCAAGACCCCATTTCTACTAAAAATAAAAAAGTAGCTGGGCATGTGGCTCACACCTGTAGTCCTGGCTACTTGGGAAGCTGCGGTGGGAGGATCACTTGAGCCCAGGAGTTTGAGGCTGCAGTGAGCTGTGATCAAGCCACTGTACCCTAGCCTTGGTGATAGAGCAAGACCCTGTCTTAAAAAAAAAAAAAAAAAAAGGAAACATTTACATTTATGGTTGTTTTAACGCCTGTATCTGTGGCCAAGTCTGTAGGGAATGGGGATGCAATTTTATAAGCTTTGCCTGGTTAACAAAAAACACTTATCTGCATAACAGTTGCTCTCAGACTTCTGGCCATTTAGCGTCCCTTTATTTATCGTTACCTACCTTACCATGTCTTCTGTGGTGTGTCATTGCAGGGCTGATGGGGAAGTGAAGCACTGTGTGATCTACAGCACTGCTCGGGGCTATGGCTTTGCAGAGCCCTACAACCTGTACAGCTCTCTGAAGGAGCTAGTGCTCCATTACCAGCAGACATCCTTGGTTCAGCACAACGACTCCCTCAATGTCAGGCTTGCCTACCCTGTTCATGCACAGATGCCCTCGCTGTGCAGATAAAGAGGAAGTGGGAAGAGAGGTGGTTCTCTGGCATTTTTTTCTACAGTTTTTATTAGACTACGATGAGGGCATTCTTTCTACATAGACTGCTTGTTTTGCACAAGAAGTGATTCTGTGAATGTGAAGTGGAGAGGCCGAGCAGCAGCCGGCCGGGATGGGGGCATTAGAGGCCTGAGGTTCTCTAGGACTCAGCCATGCCGCTGCACTGACATACTAAGCTGGAAGCAGATGTTTTTTTGAAAGTCTATTTCATTGGGGTTTTTGTTTTGTTTAGCCAGGCACCCTCAACAGAATATTAGGCTTGATGGTTATAGTGGGTGGGGTTGTATTTGGAAGCCTCTGAAGAGGCCATGTCTTTTTTAAATCCTTAACTCTTGAGAGTGCAGCAGGGGCATGGCCCTGCTGGGAGTTCTGTTTTGCTTTGGCAGTCTCTCTTCCCCCCACGCAGAAGGCTGTTTTGGTTTTGTGATAGAATGGGATTTGATGAAAAAGACAACCAAAGGAAAATGGGGAGGCTTGGGATTTCATTTAAACAATCTAAGCCAAGATGATAAAAAGAAACCTTCAACTGAAGGTACTTTATTTCTTACCAACATAATTTAGGCTTCAGCATCTCATCAGCCCCTCCCTCTAAAGAAGTATTATGTTCAGAAGCCAACAAAACAATGTTTGTTGCCAGACCAATGTTTGATGGAAAAACGTAGCACTCATAGGTGAATGTATACTTCTGTACCAAAACTTGAACATAAAAAGACTAGAAATTGGGAGTTTTAGCAAACACTAAAATTGGTCAGTGTAACCCCTTCTGTCCTGCCTGTTTCTCTGAGATGAGAAATAGCGTTCTTTTTGTGGGGATGGTGAGTTTTGAATCATAAAATGAAGTTGGTGCTTGTGTGGTGTTTCCTTAGCCTAAAGAATGATCTGTTGTTTGAAATCTTTGTAACTTGTTTGTATGAGTCAAGAAAAGGTGCAATCCAGTGCTTTTAGATGGCTTGATATACCAAATAACAATATAGAACAACATTATTATATGTGCTTCCCCAAATTTAAAGGCCCTGCAGAAATAGTAAACATGATTTAATTTCCCTTCATCTCCTCCTCCTTTGCTGGATGGGGTTTTGGGAGCTATAGGTTGCTAAGGAGGGGAGTCAGATTGTGGTCAGGGGCCTCAGTAAATCACAGACCTAGGGGCCCTGTGGTCTAGGTGAGAATCATACCACATTACACATGTGCTTCCATACAGTGGTTTCTGAAGCTTTTGCAGGGAGAGAAGATGGCTTAGTGTTTAGACTGTTAGTAGAAGCCATCTGGAAGCTTTTCTCTTTGCCTTTTTTTGTGATCCTGCCATAAAGGCTATGTGCAGTCTGCCCTCATGCTCCAGTGGCCTTGATTTTAGGCCAGGAATCTTCTGCTCCATGTGGCTTAAGCCTTCCAGCTGAGTGAAGCTAGGCAAACGGAGTGGGGGCAGGCATCTGTTCCTGCCCCCATCATGCCCCACACCCATCAATCAGTCAACACTCATTTGACAAATAGAGTCCAGCTGCCTCTGAGCCAATCCCGGAACCATAATAGGCTCAGAGTGAGTCAGCTGTTTGAACCCAAAGCTGTGCAGTCAGGCATCCTGGCTGAGCTAGAGAAACCAGTACCTGCCTCTTGGTTTATAAGGTTACAGCTAGGAAAGCTCTAGTTTTGGGGGTGAAAGAAAAATATAACTTTACCTGAGCACCTATTTCCGTGACAGCGTCTAAAATATGGACCATGATGTAGACATAGATTTATAAATTTGGAGAAACCTCCAGTTACTAGCGATGAGGATAGGAAGGGAAGTGCTTATCTTTGGCTTTTTCTTGGTTACATTGCAGTTTCAGGATTGGGTGAGACAGAGACAAATGAACCCCCCTCTAAAGTAATTTAACTAATAGCCAGCACATCCCTTCCCCAAACTGTCGATTGAAATCTTACTGAAAGTTTTACTGAATAATACCAAGCTAATTGCTGCTGGGCACACCTGCATGGCTTTGCACCTGGTGTTAAACCTGCTGAAGCAGGTGGATGCTCAAGATTACGTGTAAGGAATCCCTCCTGTCTGGTACTAACATTTCAGTGTGTTCTGAGTGTCTTTTAAACAAAAATGGAAATACAGATACATGCCTGTAGTATTCAGTGTGTCTGCTCCTTTTTGGGCAGACACTGAGGGTGTGCAGGGAGAGACCAAGTACCATCTATCTACACTTGGGCTGGCTTGTGGAGAAGGGCTGCTTTTTTTCAGTCCTACATTCCTTCATTTTTTTTTTTTCTTTTGTTTTTCATTCTTGAATTCATTGTTTTGTGGGATCTAAGACCCAGGGGTCATTTGAGAGGTTTGACAGTATCTTTTCTGACCAGTTGCCACATGACTTGCCTGACCCTGAGCCAGTGGAAATGGCTTAGTTACCAGTCTACTACCCACTGAGCCTGGTGTATAGAGGGGGATAGGGTAGCAAGGTGCATCTCTACGCCCATGACGTGAGAGGAGATTCTTGGCCTCTTTCATGAGAATCTAGTGCTGTTTCCTGTCCCATGATCTGGACCCTGGGACTATTTGTTTTGGCATCTTAACTGCAGTTTCAATGAGGCAGAGGGCAAAGAGAGACCAAGATCAGAGGGGCTCATTATACCCCTGGCTGGAGAACCCAGCTACTGACATGAAAGCAGCTTGGGGCTGGCTGGACACAGGTACTAGGCCCATCGTTTCCAGGTGAAGCTTTCATCACAGAACAGTGCCATCTCCACCTGGCCATAGATGCCATGCCATGATTCAGGCCTGGATAGGCTGCCTGTGTCCTTACCACTGATCTGGCCAAGAATGAGGACCTCCCAACACTTTCACTCCCTCTCCAAGCCTTGATGGGACCTCCACTTACTTTAGGCCTCATGTGCTGTGAAGAAGCTTTGAGAGCCAATGTGGTGTCTTCCACAGGTCTTCTCTTTTTGCTGCAAGGAATCAGCCCCATGTATTCTCTGAAACTGAGAATTGCACCTGGGCAATTCCTGTTTTCTAAGGTGGTCTCTGCTGCTAGTTAAGAACCCCGAGTAGGCCTCTGTGAGGCTTCAGTGGTCTCAGAAACCAGAGGGTCCAGATAGGAGGCCTGCTTGGGCCCTCTGTGGCCAACTGCTCAACCCTGCTTTAGCTCCAGCCACTTGTGGCAACCAACCTCGTTTCCTTACAAATTCCAGCATGTGACTTTGGTGCCCTGTTACTTGTGAAAAATTTATTCTGTTGTCTTCGATGTAGTCCAAAAATAATTCATGTAGTTTTTACGTAAAAATATCTGACTCCCAAGAAAGCCAATTGTATGTCTTGTGATGGGACAGTTCATATGTAGTTCCTAGACCACTTTGCAAATTGTTCTTGTCACCAGATGTGTTCAGACATTGCTGTGCAATTGTGGGGGAGGGTAGGGGGAAAGGCGAGAGGAGTTACTTATTGGTCTTTTTGTTTTATAACCTTCCCCAAGAGGGGACGGTCTGGCCAACTTGCTCCAGTAATGCAATAAACACATTGCAATAAAGTAATTTTTTGTCTTCATGCTATGAAAGGGTGGGCTGGGGGCAGAGTGGGGGTCAAGAGAGAAAAGTACTCAGGTGTTGAACAGCCCTTGAAACTTCCAAACCTTCTCTCCAGTAAGCGCCAAAAGACTAGTACTTGGGCTGAACTGGGGCAACCAAAGACTCTTTTCTTCCTAGGGGAGGACATCCACTCCAACTAGGCATGATGCCAGAGTCCTGTCCACCGAACACAGACACAGGGAGTCTCAGATATTGACTCAGAAAATTAAAACTGAATGCCATTTCCTCCACACCTCACTGCCCACTCCTGACTAATAAGCTGTTTATTGGTTCTCATATTTCTACCCAGAATGAAAAGTGTTTCCACATTCTACTCTGGGGGAGGGGGAAATGGACCCAGCTTTATAGTCTATCCTCTTGCTGCCCCAGGCCCTTGTCATCTCCTACCAAGGCACACTGTTGAGCTTCCTGTATTCTAGGAATGTAACGAGCAAACATGTGATGACCTCTTGTTGCATAGGATATTGCAGCGCTCATCCATGTCTCAGGCCCCACCCATGTGTAGTCAATTACAAATAAGTCAGATTGGGCAGGGAACAGCCTGTTCTAAGTGACCTTGTCTATGTCTTTTCTCCCCACTACACTTCAGCTACACAGCATCCCAAGACCACTGCTAGGAACTATGGATTTCTCCTGATCCCAGAGTTGTTCATACTTCTGTGTTTAGGATGCTCAGATTTCTATCTCCTTCCCAGTTCGTTCTTCTGAACCCTACCTGCTGGCTGGATGTTTCCACTGGGCTCCTGGGTGGGCGTCTCACTGACACTTCAAACTTGTTTACTTGGGGGTGGGTGTGGTGGCTCATGCCTGTATTCCCCGCACTTTGGGAGGCCTAGGCGGGCGGATCACCTGAGGTCAGGAGTTCGAGAACAGCCTGGCCAACATGATGAAACCCCGTCTCTACTAAAAGTACAAAAATTAGCTGGGCGTGGTAGCATGCACCTGTAATCCCAGCTACTCGGGAGGCTGAAGCATAAGAATTGCCTGAACCCCCGGATGCAGGGGTTACAGTGGGCCAAGGTGGCACCATTGTACTCCAGCCTGGGCAACAGGGCGAGACTCCATCTCAAAAAAACAACAACAAAAAAACTTGTTTACTTGGCAGAAAAAGTATGATTGGCTATGAATTCCCTTACTTTCCTACCACCAAACCTACAACCTTATCTGTATTTATATAACTATTCTCCCTCCCACCTGTTAAATTACAATAGTTGCCTCCAACTAAAGCCAGCCCTCCACATGTATTTTGGAATCTATTTTCTTCCACCTTAGGAATCTCCCAAAATTAAGATCAATTCTTTCTCTGCTTCAACTGGATCATCTCCACTGATATTTAAACATGGTTGGTTGGTTCTCATTCTACTCCCCCAATCCCTACTCAATCATCCCATACATCTTTTTTTCTCTTCAAAGCCAAGCCTTTGGAAAGAGCTGTCTTAAATATCCTTATTTCCTCATCTCAAGTATTTCAGTACTGGTTCCACCACTGTTTGAAACTGCTTTTCTTGATGCCTTCAGTAACCATCACTGTTAACTATCCTCTCCATGGAAAGCTCCTTCATGGAGTCTTATTACAACTCATTAATCTAATATTCTTCTGACATCTGACTGTTGTTTTACATCTCCTGGATTCCTTCAATTCTCACTTAACGCCATTTTACTTGGCAGTTTTATCCAGTCATGAATCCACCCACCATCTCTAGACAAATTACATCTGTTTATTTCACTTGCCCAGACCTCTATTGGAAGCTACTTCATATTTAGCTTATGGAATGCAGCACTGAACTACTTAGCCCTGGTTCTCTTCCTTGTTTCTTATTTCGGTGAATGGAAATACAATTCATCTGGTTATATAAGTCAGAAATGTAGTCATCATCCCCGATAGCCCTCTGCTTCATATCTAAAGTCCTTCACCAAGTATCAATCAAAACACCACTTCTAAGTTCACTGCTTCACTACCATCTGCACCCTTCATCCTGGAAGGCCCCCCTTCTTCCATGCTTGTCCCCCTCAAATCCATTCTGATTATAGCAACCAGGCATCTTTTCAAAATACAAATCGGAACCTGTGGCAAACAATTACTAAGTCTCCACTGATCTTAGGGTGAATTACAAAATTAGATGGTCTGGCTTCTCCCTGATTCGGGATCTCATTCCCCACCTTCAGCTTCTTTTCACTGGCTCTACCCCCTCAGCTAGTGCCAGTAACTCAGGACTTCTTCCTCATCCTGCGTATGTTCCCTGGACAGTCCTCATCTCTTGTGGCTTTCAATGCCTTCTACTGCCTGATGGCTCCCAAATCTAGATGTCCAGCTTCCTACCCTTTCCTTCCTTACCTCCTCACTGTTGCTGTTCTAGTTCACACCGCACTACCTCATCCTCTGTGGTACCCTCACTCCACTCCAGCCTCTCTATACTGCAGCCAGAGTGATCCTCCTAAAACAAAAGATAATACCACTTCCCTGAAGTTACCTTTCAGGAACTCTTCACTACCCCCACCAGTTTCTCAAAGGGAACACTAATGACACTTGGGGCAATTGCCTGATGTGGTATAGGATGTTTAGCATCTCTGTGCTTCCTCCTCCCATCCCCATTTCCAACCCTCTAGGAGGGCAGTTCCCAACATCCTTTTCACCTGTGGTGTGGTGCTCCTGACCAGATCCCTATATACACGGGGCACTTGCTCCCTCAGCCATGCTCCTGCCATCCTCCAGCTCACAACCTGTAATCTGTCTGCCCAGGCCCCGGTACATTAGACCAGAGTCTACTGTGAATGCATGAAGAGAGGACTAGAAGGCTGAGGGGCCAAATATCTGCACAAATGGGCTCTGCCACTGTGGATACAGTGCGCCCTCTGGTGGCCACCGCCTTCCCAGGCAATGAGCCTCCTAACACTTCTTCAGACCTAGGCACTGGATTGTGGGACGATCAGTGCAACCAGTGCAAGACAGTTTCTCAAGTCTTCCACCACTATGGAGACAAAGCCTTGGTACTCTGCCAAGCCCCACTGCCTGCCCTGTGATGCCACCTCCTGACTCCCCTGGCTCTGGTCCCACTTATTTCCTCCCCCTTCCGCACGCACTACCCATCAAATGAAGTTCTACTCAATGAGGGCTGCACACACGATGTCCATCCATGTGCAGTGCTGAGGCCTCTACCTGCAACAGCCCAGGAAGAGCTCACTGGCTACAATCATGAAGGTTTTCTTACTAAATATGACTGGCAGCTTTGTTTTCATCTCACCCTCACCTCGGCATTTATCAAGTAACTTCTCCGTCCATTTTAAAAACTCTTTCCTCCTGTGGACTTTATGACTCTTCCGGCTGTTCTGTCTTCTATCTCAAACACACCCAAAGTTAAACTGCCTCCTCTCACTTCTTCCCCTCCTCATTTCCTGGCTGAGGCAATCCAACTTAGGAGACACATGTGAGTTCTGGAGTCCAAGGGAAACCTAGGTTCTAACCCCAGTTCTACCCAAGCTGTATTACCATGGGCATCAAAGCCTGAGTGCCCTTATCTATAAAGAAGGAATTTTAATTGCTACATGGTATTTTCTGGTTCCCCATCACCTTCACAAAGTCATCTCCTGGAAGACCATTAGACATGGCCCTTGCCTCACTTGCCAGACCCATTTCTACTTTGAATTATCTTTGGTTCCTTGAATATACCAGGTATACTGTATGTGCTAAATGTTGCCTGGACAGCCTTTCTTAAACCAGCCTCCACCCTTGCCACACCCAGCAACTACTAAGTATCATCTGTTCTTCATGTTTGAGCTCAAATGTCACAGCCTTTGGGAAGTCAAGCTGGGTTAGACGGCCCTCCCCTGATGGTGGAAACTGTTTTATTCCCAGCAGCAACACAGGACTTAGTTACATGTGGGTTGACCGAAGGAAAACAAGCAAGCAAAAGACATAACGATGGTTTCCAGGAGTATATATTACACAGGTCTGAGTGCAAGAAATGGCAAACTACTGCTATGTTTGCTTTAAAAGCTCATCTGGAACCAATGCCAAATCCCGATGCTTTTGATGGCCCCCTGGTTCTTGGCCCCTCCAGAGGAGGCTGGACTCAGACTCCTGGGTAAGGGGGCAGCCTTGGCATGGAACGTCCTGCCTTCTGTCACCTGAGGCATCAGGCACTTGGGTGATGCTCAGGGCTGGATCCTCTTTCACTGCTTGTGCACACTCAGACTCCCATAGCCAGCCCTGGCTGGGATCCTCACAAGGTGGATGGGCACTGGGTGGCTGTGTCTTCCCCTGCTCCCTGGGAGACAGGTTCTTAGGGTGGGCTGGAGTTGTGGTTTCCAAATCCTGGAGGTTGACTAGCCCACCTGCCATGATTGCCTTTCTGCTTGGGGATGCCCTGTCTGGGCCCTCAATATGGAATTTCCAGGACCACATGCCCAGCTTCCCAGAGGTGGAACTGGGAGGAGAGCAACTGCTGGTGGGAGTAAGTCCTGAAGAGCTGGAAGAAAGTGCTGCTAGTGCCTGGGTGTGGAGGTGCTGAGCCTTCCAGCAACCTTCAGAAGGGATGGGGTCTGTGGCTCCAGACCTACCCAGGTTGGGGCCTGGTGAGGAGGAGCTGGCAGCCTCCTCAACGGCTTGTGGGCTCCCAAGCCTCCTGTGGGGCCCACTGGGACTTTCCATTCTGGGAGGCCCCAGTGTGATCCCTGTCAATAGGCTTGGGACCACTGGGCCTGGGCTCCTAGGGTCACTGGACGGGAAAGTTTCCTCTTCCCCACTCTCTCCTGTTCCTTTGGGGGCCACACACTGGCTCACTGCTGGGTGAGGTGCCAGGCTCAGCTCCTGTGCACCCTGGCTGTTCTCAGGTCCCTCCTCGGTGTCGTCCTCTGAGGAGTCCACCTCACGAATGGCTTCTTGCTTCTGCAGCGACTCCCGTCGTTCAGCTCGGTCCTGCCGGAGGGTGCCTAGGGCCCGTGAGGGAGCAGGCTGCAGCACCCCCTTCCCTGGCAGGGCCCCCTTGCCAGACAGCACACCCCTGGCTCCAACTACCTCCAGAGGGCTCACTTCCCTGGGCGGCAGTTCCTTCTTTAGCTCAGAGTGGGGCAGGTCAAGGCTGTGCTTGCGAGAAGTGGCTAGCTTCTTCTCAGAAGCGGCAAGTGCTGCTGCCAGTTTCTCAGCTGACTGCACCCTCTTGAGTAGTGGTGACCGGGGTGGCTCTGCACTCTTGGGCCGCGAGAGTTGTCTGCCCAGGGGAGGTGACAAGTGAAGCTTTGCGGGAAAGGCCTGGGCTACATGGCCAGACAGCGGTGATGGGGACCGCTGAGGTGAAGCTGCTGGGGGTGGGGGAGAAGGGGTGTGGGCCAGTGGTGACAGTGGGATGCTGCCTGCTGACTTGCGCCGTGGAGAGCGGTACTGGCGTTGGAGCTTGGGTGCCAGACCGTGGAGGGAGCTGGGCCGTGTGTGCCCAGAGCCGGCTGGGGAACTGGGCACGCTGGAGCTGGGGGAGCTGCTCTGTGATGAATTCCCTCCCACTTTGTACAGAGACAGACAGACAGACAAAAGCAGAGCAGTGTTAGCTGTTAGAAGTGACGAAGGGCAAGACAGGGCTTAGCCCTGTTATGTCCCAGAAACCAAGCTACCCCCTCCCCCATCAATTAATTCCTCCCCAAGACTACAGGATCTTCCAGGGGGCGGCTGAATGAGAGATTCAGAGTGGGTCTGTGACAAGCACACAGGGTCTAGGAACTCTCCTATTTCCCAGGGGTTGTTTCTGACAGTTTTCTGTCAGGGAGCCCTTCGTACCTGAATGCACAGCATCGGGGGTCACCCGGTAGCCTTGAGTGGGAGATCGGGGGGAAAGGCTGTGGCTGTGTGTGGGAGAGCCTGGCCCACTCTCCCCTGATGACAAGGAGCGGTTAAGGGAAGAAAGGCTGCGGCTGGTGTGGAGCAGGGATACTTGCTTAGTGATCTTGCGGAACAGGGAGCTCCTTTTTCTGCTGTGGGGATAAGGGTCAAAGGCTGAGTCAATGCAGAGAGCACAGCACACCCTGGGCCCAGGGCCAAGGCACCCGGCAGGTACCAGCACTCATGTGGCTCAGAGAAAACCCTCTGGACTGCGCCTGGCTCACCTTTCTTGCCCATCCTTGCCGCGGCCCTTCTTGCTCCTTCGGGCCATCTTGGCCTTGTAGCTGCCCTTCCGCGCTGGCCCCACTTTAATGGATGTGTTCTCCAGGGGAGTTGTTGAAATGGCCACCTTGTTTCCACTCTGGGGAGCAGAGCATGAGGCCTAGGCTAAGCTGGAGCCATATGCTTCCCTCCTGGCATGGCTATACCACAGCATCAGCTTTTGCCCCTGCACCAACACATCTGAACCACGGGCCTGTATTATTCTGTCTTCACAGATGAGGAAATGTCTCCCATTGGAGCCCCAGAGTAGTCTGGGGTAAGAAGGTAGAGAACAGGCTAACCCGTCCCATTCTGCAGCCCTACCCACAGCTCAGAAGAATCCCTGGGCCTTAGTCAGGGAGGGTACCGTCTTGTGGAGAAAACTCTCTGTTGTGCCACATTCAAGTTCTGTGTGTACCTACATCTTTTTTTTTTTTTAAGACAGAGTCTCACTCTGTCACTCAGACTGGAGTGCAGTGGTGCAATCTCAGCTCACTGCAACCTCTGCCTCCTGGGTTCAAGCACTTCTCCTGCCTCAGCCTCCTAAGCAGCTGGGATTACAGGCGTCCGCCACCACACTCGGCTAATTTTTTTTTTTTTTTGAAGAGCTCCCCGTGTCTCCCAAGCTGGAGTGCAGTAGTGCAATCTCAGCTCACTGCAACCTCTGCCTCCTGGGTTCAAGCGATTCTCCTGCCTCAGCCTCCTGAGTAGCTGGGATGACAAGTGCCTACCACCACACTTGGCTAATTTTTGTATTTTTTAGTAGAGAGAGAGTTTTGCCATGTTGGGCAGGCTAGTCTCAAACTCTTGACCACAGGTGATCTACCCACCTCGGCCTCCCAAAGTGCTGGGATTACAGGCGTGAGTTACCATGCCTAGCCATTTTTTTTTTTTTTTTTTTTTTTGTACTTTTAGTATAGGCAGGGTTTCACCACGTTGGCCAGGCTGGTCTCGAACTTCTGGTCTCAAGTGATCCACCTGCCTCAGCCTCCCAAAGTGTTGGGATCACAGGCAGGAGCCACCGTGCCCGGGCTGTGTGTACCTACATCCATACTCGGTGTAGGTGTGTGTGCACCCAACTCACCCACTCCCCTAACTGCCATCACAGACTTACAGGCCGAGGTCATTCAGGGACCATGCGGGCAGCACGCCCTGCACTAACCTTCAGGATCAGCTCCACCACCTCCGTGTGCACCAGCCCATGTACAGGTTCCCCATTGACATGGGTGATGAGGTCGCCTTGACGAAGCCCTGCCTCGCTGGCCGGACCTCCGTCCTCCACGTGCTGCCCCAGGAAGAGAATAGTACTCAGACTGGAGCCTGAACATGAAGTATGGGGCTTGGTTCTGCACATTAAGCTGTGAGCCCCTTCACCACCACCCTTTGACCCCCGAGCAGGGACAGATGGGCTCCACAAAGGGGAAGCCGGAAGGATGATGAAGCTGGGAGACAGCAGGTCTGGATGGTCAGACATACCCACACCATGTGGTGCACGGTGTAGACGTCGGAGTCACCCATGTAGACGCGAATGGCCCGCAGGGTGAAGCCATACTTCTTGCCAGCTCGGTGGATGATGATGGGAGGCCTCACGCTGCCAAGGGCTGGCAAGAAGTCCCTGCTTGGAGAAGAGTCCCGGGATGATGGGTTGGACGACTGAGAATGTGGGGACATAGGGCTGGCCAGCGGGGAGCAGGTGTGGTGTTCTAGAGAAGGAGAAGCCAGGACTTAGTGGGTCAGAGGGCCTTGGCCTGGCCCACGGTCCAGTCTGTTGATTTCGGCACAACTGTAGTCACAGAGCCTGAGCCCAGGTCCATTTTCTCCACAGCCCCTGACCTGTGAAGCCCTCTCCTGTGCCCAGACCCCAAGAGACGGTGGTGGTGATGAGAAATGGCAGCTAGCATTATGTATCAGGGACTATGTAAGCTTATCATACATATTTAAATGTCACAATTAACTGATGAGCTGGCCACTATTATATCCACATTTCTGGATGAGAAACTTGAGGCTTAGAGGAGTTAAGCAACTTGCTCAAGGTCAAAAGCCTGTTAGTGATGGAGCCAGGATTTAAGTGTGAGCTCTCTGCCCCAAAGCCTGCACTTGTGACATGGTGCTGTCCTGCCTTCTGGCACATGTATATATCCACAACCCCAGACACCAATACACACCTTCAGAGACCACAGTCTCTGAGATCCCTGCTTAACACACATACACCTGCCATGTGCAGAACCTTGCCAAGGCCTAGAGATTCTAAGGCCCTTCCTATGAGTTTTATCCCAGCTCCCCAGGGGCCTCACCGGAAGGAATGAGGAGTGAGAGGGCTGTGGCTGAGGCGGACTTGATCACTTTGTTGACAGGGCGAGTGGTGCGCTTCTCTGTCGAGTCCCCAGAGAGCAGCCGGTGGCGGGCCCTACGCACAGCCAGGTCACTGATGGCCTTGGCTGTGGCTCCCTCAGCCAGCTGCGGGGTCCCACGGCCTCTGGTCTCCATAGCTGTAGGCCCAAGGGAGCAGTGAGACCGCGATGCTGCTGAGCCTCCCCGCCCTGCAGTATCCTCCAGCTTAGGTCCTTTGGCCGCCCACTGGGCCATACCTGGACTGGAACCACTGCTCCGGCCAATGGCTTCCTCATCCAGCTTTGGCCACTGCTCCCCTGAGCGTTCAGCAACAGGCCCAGAGGCCCCCTCTCCAGAGGGGGGAGTCAGGACCCATATCCCCTCCTGCGGTTGCCTCCTGAGGGCGCTGCTGGCCTCCTCAGGGCCCTCGGGGAACCGAGGCGCATCCAGGAGGCCTGAGCAGCGGCGTCGCACTGTCATGGGAGGGCTGGAGTCACTCTCTGTGTGGGACGACTCAGACACTGACAGCCGCTTCCGTAATCTATGAGACACAAGGCCTGGGGTGAGATGGCCCAGGTGGTCCCCCTCCTCCTGCGAGGTCTCCTCAGGGGCACACAAGGGTTATAGTAACAGAATTTTCCTCCGCAGACATTCCTCTAGGAGTCACCCTTGTGAATGCCCCCTCACTGCCACCTGCACTCCTCGGCGGCATCAGAATCTCTCCCATGATCTGTGACAATGCAGGGATAGCTGTGTCGCCCACCCTGGGTGAACTCTGGGGTGCTCACATCTCAGGGGAGCCAATCACCCAGCTCCGGTCTCGGCCTTTGAGCCCTGCCAAGCCATCTGAGCGGTCCTCCTTCTCCTCACTCAGGCTGCGCTTGGTGGGGGGTGGTGTCCGGCGCTCCTCGAGCAGTGAGAGCCGCTCCATGCTGCTGTACACCTGTGGGCACAGGGGATGCGCTGGGGATGGGCTCTGGCAGCCGTATCTCCCAAGTGGCATAAAGCATCGGAAACCTAGGAATTTCAACCAGTCGGCTCCTTCCCTCCTCCACACACCCCTGAATATTTGGGGAAGCGGTTATTCCACGGATCTGACGTGGCATCTCATGTCAGGGACTACAGTGGTTCTAGAAGCACCTATATATGGCTATATGTAGCCCCAGCCCTCAGCTCCTCTTTCTCTAGAGGCGGCCCCAACCCCAACTTCCTGAGCCTGCCCAGGTGTGCCCTTTGACAGGCTCTCTTGTTCTGATCCTCCAGCCTGTTCTGCCCATCCTGGGCCTCCTCAGTCACACCTTGCTGAACCTTGGAGAGCAGGAAGAGAACTGGCGGATCTCAAGGCAGCCATCTTCACTCACTTCTTCCTCATCCTCCGAGTCCATGTGGTGGTATCGCTCTGAGCGGGCTGGGCCAGACATAAAGGACACTTTCCTTCAGAGCCCTGCTGGTGGCCTCCTTGTGACCCCATTAGATTTCAGCAGAGCCCTGAGAAGTTGCTCCCAATGCCAAGTTCAGTGTGCACAGGTGTTTCTATGCAAACAGGTAGGACCCACACTCCACTCCACACATTGGCGGCCTTACTGTCAAAATAGCTAGTATCATCCTCTGACTCCAGCTGAGGAATAAATTCAGCTTTCTGGCGGAGAAGTCCTGTCCAGTCCAGACCAGTGAAGAATGGGTGCTGCTTCACCTCATAGGCACTGCCTGTGGAAAGGGAGGGCATGGGCAAGGGGGAAGGATGAGCCGCATGGAGTCCAGGTCAGCAAACCTAGTAAGAAGCCAGACCTTGATAAGCTATACTCAGGGGGTCAGCTCAAGCATCTTCCCTTCCCTGCCTACAGGGAGCAGGGCAGAGTTTCAGGATCCAGAGGGGCTGCCCGTAACTGAAGCCTGAACCTCCAGGGTACATGGACTCAGCCTCCCTTAGCCCTTTTCTAAGTAGTGGGAAAAGTTAGCAGGGCCTGCCCTACCTGTGCCCAGTCTCTCCAGAGGGTTCTGGTGGAGCAGTTTGGAGGTGAGGTCCTGGGCGTCTGGGGGCAGTGCATCATCACCCTCAGGCCACACAATCTCATCTGAAGTCATCAGGGGTGAGAGGAAGAGGAGAAATTGTGGGTAGAGTGGAGAGATGTAGAAGAGGGTCCCAGGACAATGTAAGGAAAGGAGTCAAAAAGGACCCAGCCCGGAGTCCCTGAATGCCTTGCCTGGGACCCCAGTCTTTAATTTTTTTAGGTTCCTAGACCATGGCTTGATCTTTGATCCATGGTGGGCACTGCAAAGCTCTAGCTCACCCTGCTTTTATACTCCACAAAACATACACAGACATACCCCTCACACTTATGGGATGTGCACATACACAGACAGGAACACTCAGGTATATATGGGAGACACGTGAGGCCCTAGGGGACACAATGTGCACATGTATGTACATGCAGAAACACAGAGACACCCACCCCCAAAGCAGCAGACATCACAAACACATGGTGAGTTCAGAACAAGAGCTCACAGGCCTCATGAGCTGCCTGCATACATCATAGTTGTGAATCCAGACTGTATCCCCACTGGGCCAGCGGGATAGTACCTACCACTGATCACTTGGCCAAAGAGCTCCTCCGGAGTGTCTCCAAAAAAAGGGACGCAGCCCACCAGGAACTCATACAGGATAATGCCCATGGCCCACCAGTCCACCGGCTTCCCATAGCCCTGGCGCAGGATCACTTCAGGTGCAATGTATTCTGGGGTCCCGCATACCTGGGCACAGAAAAGCCAGGCTGGCTCAGCCTCCTGAGGCTGCTCACTGGCATGACAGCGGGAGACGCGGGATGCTCCCACCTCGAACAGAAGAGTCTCTGAATGAAGACTCAGCCCACCTTAGTTAATGAACAAAATCAACAGAAGCCCCAGGGAACAAGAGTCGGAACTGTTAGCAGGTATTTCCTAATTAACAAAACTGTCTCATTCTAGCCCAGAACTACCATCCCTTAAGCCCTCAACACCTACCTCTGGCATCTGATCCCACAATTGGCCTCTGCACTCCAGCCTCTAACAGAACAGACCCTACCGGTTACGTAACTACTACAGGGACTGGTGAACAGTCACAACCTGAAATGTCAAACCAGGGAACATCCAGAGGCTGCCTCTCAGGACACTGGGCCACAGCCCAGTGGAAATTCAAACCTGTGTTCCAAGAACCTCAGGCTCCAGGAGAGCCTTGTCCTTGACTCAGGCTGGGAGATTCGGGACTGACCTCATATGAAACTGTGCTAACAGTTACATGACCTATTTTCTCCAAACCCTGAGGAGGAAGATGACTTTGGATTTTATATCCATATGATTCTCATGGCTCATCCTGTTTTCCAAATGTGCTACCTATCTCAATGCCTCTCTGGAACCCAAAGGTAGAAAAGATAGGGGTTCCCAATCTTAACATCTAGCTACAAGGTAGGCATATGGCCCCAAGGCCTTATTCAAGGGCCTGGAATCTATGTATGTGTACACAAATGTAGAGATGGGGTCTCACTATGTTGTTGAGGCTGGTCTTGAACTCCTGGCCTCAAGCGATCCTCCTGCCTCAGCCTCCCAAAGGGTTGGAATTACAGGCATGAGCCACTGCACCAGGACAAGGGCCTAGAATCTACCCTCCAATGTATCAACTATCCTTCCTTACCTGCTTGTCCAGGAATTCCCGGGCATCCTTTTCAATGTGACCCTCATACAAGTTCGTTGTCAGACTCATGAGACCAATTTTGGACAGTCCAAAGTCCGTGAGCTTGATGTGCCCCATTGATGTAATTAGGAGGCTGGGAGACCAGAGAAATAAAATTATGAAGTTATTCCTGGTTTTCTGAGAGTACTGATTTTAGTATATGCCCAATTTCCCCACTCAGGCTTCCATGGGGGTACTGTGAGACATAAGCTGGGTAGCTTCAGCAGGGGGAACAGGCAGGTGTGGACACGTAAATCACTCTGGCTGTGTGAGTGCTGCATGCTGCACAAGCAACGAACCTGCCTTTTGCCCATTCCCACAACTCCATTTCTGTTCATGGCCCTAACTGTATTCTATATAGGGGGCAGGAGTCATTCAGTTGAACAACAGAGTTTCTTCTACAGAGCTGAGATCAGCCTTATCCTAAGGCTGGAGCCATTCCTAGTCCCCTCTCCCGATCTGAGTGGCCCATAATACTTCTGTTTCAGGGAGAGGGGCAGGGGGCACATAATTTTGTTCCATGTCCATGGCTGGTCTTGGGAGAAGGGTTAGTTGGGAGAAACTAGAACTAAGATCCCTTTATATATTCTGCCTGAGTCACTCATTTTGTGCTGAAGGCTTTACCCTGCCACCCTTTTACTCTAATGTCTCCCCAAATAGTACCTCTGGCTGTGACTTCCTTTTTGAGCTCCAGGCCCACCCAACTGCCCATATGTCTTACAGGCACCACAAACTCAATCTGTCTAAAACAAAGTCGTGCCTCCCAACTGGTTCTCCTCCTCAGTGAAAAACAATAATTTCAGTTATCTATTGAGCTCTGTGCTAAGTGCTTTAAAAATATTCTGGCCCCTGAAAGGTTTTCTAGAGTAACACATCAAAGGTAGGTGTCATTATTCCCTATTTTAGAAAGCAGGTACATGAGGGTCAGGGAAATTTTAATTAATAGACTCAAACTCAGACTTAATAAGCAGAAGAGTGGCCATTTGAATTCAGGTCTGTCTTATGTCAAAGCCACTTTCTCCCACAGAGGCTCATCACCCTGCCCTAGTTCCAAGCTGGAAATCTGGAACACACCCCAACCTGTTCTGTTCCCTTGCTTCCCTTCCTGCCCCACCCCAGCCTGGTCCTCTTTCCTGTTTCCCCACGCTGCCCTCTTTTTTCTACCCTGACCCCCTGCTCTGCTGCAGGCATTGCTGGCTTTGGTCTCAGTGTCTCTTTTCATCGGCAGAGCGAGCTTTCTAAACCTAAACCACAATCTGGGCATGCCACTCTATCATATCCTTGGTTAGCAGACCCTTCCAAGACTCTCTAGGCCCCTTTAAAATAAAACCCAAATGTAACAAAAGGGCCCTTGATGAACTAGTTCCTGCCTCTCTCTCCAGCCTTTTCTCTTACTACTCTCTCACCATCTAAGCTGTCACCACATTGTACTATTTGTAGTTCCTGAACAAGTGCTGTTCTCTCGCACCTGTGTGCCTCTGCACATTCTGCTCTCCTGCTTTAGAAAGCAGGTCTTCCTTTTTCCACTTGACTAATACCCTCTTGAGAAGAAGCTCATATATATATATTTCTGTCTCCCACTGTAGACTTAAGTTCTACATGCCAGGGACTATATTTAAAACCCAGAATATAGTGCTTGGCACAGAGTAGATGTCAGTAAATGTCAGTAAACTTGTTTAACCATCTACTAGATGTGCTTATTCTTTTGTTCTTGCTTGGTTTCTTCAGTGGGGCTCCTCAATGACTCTTTCTTTTTTTTTTTTGGAGACGGAGTCTCACTCTGTCACCCAGACTGGAGTGCAGAGGTGTGATCTCGGCTCACTGCAAGCTCCACCTCCCGGGTTCATGCCATTCTCTGGCCTCAGCCTCCCCAGTAGCTGGGACTACAGGCACCCGCCACCATGCCTGGCTAATTTTTTTTTGTATTTTTCATAGAGACAGGGTTTTACCATGTTAGCCAGGATGGTCTCAATCTCCTGACTTCGTGATCCACCTGCCTCAGCCTCTCAAAGTGCTGGGATTACAGGCGTGAGCCACCGTGCCTGGCCTCTCAATGACTCTTTCATGTCACCAAAGCCTTATAATATTCCAGCCAGACCTTGAGGCAATGATCTGCATCTGGGGTGGCCGGGGGGCTAGAGAACTAGGCCTAGATGGACACACACAGGAGCATGTTTTCCCAGTAGCCATCTGGATAGACTTAGAGCTACTGTGCTTGCCAACATTTTATCTAGAGACCCAAGAGGGAGACCCTGGACAAGGGACACAGATTGTGGACATACTTGTCAGGCTTGAGGTCACGGTGCACGATGCCATAGTTGTGTAAGTACTCCAGGGCCAGCACAGTTTCCGCAAAGTATAGACGCACCATGTCCACAGGCAGGGCCCCAATATTCTTCAGCAGAGTGGCACAGTCTCCCCCTGCAACAAGCCCAGGCTACCATGAGGAAAGGATCCAGTTCCCTGCTCTAGCCAGCTCCCATCTGGCAGTTTCTGAGGTCCCAGAGGAGACAGCTTCATGGAATATCCTGGTGCTGGAGACTCTGATTCTAGCCCCTTTGCTGCTGGCATGGGTGGGAGACACGGTGATATGGTTTGGCTGTGTCCCCACCCACAGCTCATCTTGAATTGTAGCTCCCATAATTCCCATGTGTTGTGGGAAGGGACCTGGAGGGAGATAACTGAATCACGGGAGTGGGTCTTTCCCATGCTATTCTCGTGATAGTGAATAAGTCTCATGAGATCTGATGGTTATTTTTATTTATTTATTTTTTTGAGGCAGAGTCTTGCTCTGTCGCCCAGGCTAGAGTGCAGTGGTGTGATCTCAGCTCACCGCAACCTCCGCCTCCCAGGTTCAAGCGATTCTCCTGCCTCAGCCTCCCGAGTAGCTGGGATCACAGGCGTGTGCCACCACACCCAGCTAATTTTTTTGCATTTTTTTTGTAGAGATAGGGTTTCGCCATGTTGGTCAGGTTGGTCTTGAATTCCTGACCTCAGGTGATCTGCCTGGCTCAGCCTCCCAAAGTGCTGGGATTACAGGTATGAGCCACCATGCCTGGCTGAGCTGATGGTTTTATAAAGGGGAGTTTCCCTGCACAAGCTCTCTCTTGTCTGCCACCATGTGAGACATGCCTTTCACCTTCTGCCATGATTGTGAGGCCTCCTCAACCACATGGAACTACAAGTCCATTAAACCTCTTTCTTTTGTAAATTGCACAGTCTCTGGTATGCCTTTATTAGCAGCATGAAAATGGACTAATACACAGGGTATGGAGCGGGGCGCAAAGTAAAGTGAATCTGCTGATAGCTGTCATGGACATTTTTCAGGCCAGAGAGGGAAGGAACCCAGATTTTTATTAAAAGTAATGGCAAAAATGCCATTACTTTTGTACCAGCCTAATATTTTAGGACAGGAATACTGCATAGTGTAAACACATCTGGCTGAGACATTAACATTTGTTCATGTTACTTCTTTCTTACTGGCTTTTAGTTTCTGAGTAGAGTAACACTGTGAACTCCCAGCACGTACCCAGTAAACACTAAAGGACATTTTTTTTCAGCTTCAGCTTCAAGACTAGGCACAATATCTTCGGAGGCTGTACACATAGTGAGAATGTGAGAGGGAAGGCCACTGGCAAAGCTGCTGCCTCTCTCCAGAACTATGCCCCGTGTTGCTCTTCTGTTCTACTCACAGAGCATTTTGCATGGTTTTAAGGGGTGTCCCCTTTGCAAGCCAGTCAGGGTAATTAATGGCTTTCCTTTATTCTGAGGGTCCAGATGCAATCCTCTAAACCCCCAATCTTGGGCTTTTGCAGCTCTGCTGCCTGCTCTGTTGCTGTCTGATACCAGCAGTAGAGAGAGTGCAGGCTTTGGGATGCAGGATTCTACAGCTGCTGGCCTGCTACTTCCTATCCCAGAGTGCCTCTCATGGCAGAGGTAGGGAGCTTTGTGCCCACCGTGGCCAAATGGTCTCTGTGATCCTGAGGCAGAAACCAATGCCAAAGGTGGACTGGAAAGCTGGGCCCTGAAACTTCACCTCTGTAAAAAAGCTGCTGGTCCCTGTTTAAGGCTCAGATTGTGCCTTGGCCTCCATGCCAAGCTACCTTTGCCTCAGTACCTTCAACATACTCCATCACCATGCACAAGTGGCGCTTGGTCTCAAAGGAGCAGAACATGCTGACCACAAAGGGGTTCTCAGCGAAAGTCAGTATGTCACGCTCCACGAAGGCCTGCTGGATCTGGTTCCGTAGGATCAGGTTCTGCTTGTTGATCTTCTTCATGGCAAAGCGCTGCCGGGTGGACTTGTGCCGCACCAGGAATACAGCCCTGGGAAACACAGTCCGGCCCATCCCCCATGGACCCTCAGCACCAGAGCTGTGCTCTCTGCCACCCAAACTGCCTTCTCTCACACCTTAATTAATGCACAGAACAAGGGGGCAGGGCATGCATACCAATGAGAAGGATCTGGGACCCCCTAGCCCATAGAACTCTTAAACTTCCTGACAGACCATGTCCTGATGACACGGCTCAATGCTTCCCCAGAGCTCAGGGAGAGGAGGATGCGTAGTAACAAGAGGTGTGGGAATCTTGTCTAGGAAAGGAACAATGATCGATGTCAGAGGAATCTGAACTCCTGCCCACCCAGGAGGCTTCTGGGAGTGAGAAGGTCCACCCTGAGGCATCTGCCCAGAGGACTGGGCAGCATACACTCTCACATGGAAGAGATCAAAGGCTGACCTGGCTTCAGTCCTGGCCACACCCTGACCCCTGCCTTTACCCATAGGCGCCATTGCTGATCAGCTTAATGGTCTCGAAGTCCTCTTCAGAGGGTGTCTTTTTAGATGGCAGAGATGCCCCACGGCCCTGGAAGACAAGGGGAAAGGCAGGAGACAGGCATGCTTCTCAGAGCCCATATCCTTGCAGAAGCTGTGGCTCTAGCGTTCTCAGCTCTTAGTTCTATTGTAGTCCCCTGCCCATTCTTCTGGGAGTAGAATGACTTCTCAGTGTTTGCTGTCACCAATTCCCCCATCCCTTCTTCAGATATTCTCTTAAAGAGAACTCACAGCTCTTTGCTTCGTAGGGCCCAGGCTCCAGGAATGGGGCAGGAGATCAGGGTTTTTACCTCAATAGAATCATCTGTCTCTGGAGTGTCAGGACTGTCACAGCTGCTCAACTGGGCCATTTCTGGAAACAAAACAAAGACACAAGAGAAGAGTGTGTGGCAATGTCAGGTATCTCAGCAGTATCCTCAGATCACACAACAGGTGCATGTAGGGTAGGCATTAATGCTTTTTGCATCAGCCTAGGACGTGAATTCAGTCCCATGGCACTATACCCAATGTAGTCCCAGCTTTTGGACCAGGAAACAAGCCAAATCCTACTGCTACTCCCATTTCCAGAAGTCCGTTGCCATTCACAGGGCCTGGCAAATTCTATAAACTTGGGACATTTCCTGGAAAACAGGACCTGAAACTGGGTTACTAGTTCCCATCCTGCTGGCCAAGACTGCATCACTGGATGGGGCTGGGAAGCATAGAAGGCAGGAGCAGGATACCTACAGACCATGGACTTGGAAGCCCATGGTTGCTGCAGGGGTTCCGCAGAAGCCCAGAAGAATGGCGGTATCCTCTGAAGCCCTGTGCTGGACCACCCTAAAGACACAGGAAGACCTGTAAGGTGGCCAGGAGGAGAGGCAAGGTGCAGAGGTGGTGACCATTTTTGCAAATGTGATTGTGGCTCTTTGTTGTTGACCTCTTTGGAACTGAGGTTCTAAATGCAACTCAGCCGGGCCGATGCAATCCAGGCTGGGATCTACCAGGCAGATGTGAACAGCAGTTCCAAAGGAAAGACTGTTTTGTCACAGAGATCACAGTGTATATCCTAAATTCCTGAGGCCCCTGGGGCCATGCTGTGTCCACGTCCAAGCTAAGTCTCTTCTCCAAGCAGCTTCCCTGCTGTTAAAGCTTGCCAGCAGCGGTGGGGCCTCTCTGCAGCCACCAGGCAGTATGCTCACCCTCTAGGGGATCCCGTGTGAGGCCCAGCTGGCTAACGATGTAGCGGGGAATGTCACATTTAATCCCTTGTCCCTCTTTGGCGTGGCCCTCAGCTGCTTCTAATAGGTGGTAGAACTCTTCAGGGTCAAACTCCTGTACCAAGGGAGAGAGGCAGTCAGTGGTGACAGATAGAAGCAAAAGCTGCTGGCCTCTTTGGTTTTAGAGCATATAGTAGACTGAGATGAACAAGAGTTTCTCTGTGACAGGATACTCCAACCCCTCAATATTCAGAAATAACACGATTCAGGGATCACAGGAATGGGGATGAAGATGTCTTACAGGTCACCTCCAGATTGGAGATACTCAGCATATGCTATCTTCCTGGCAATAAGAACTAGAGGTTTTACTCTAAAGAGAGCTCAGCCTACTGATCTGGTCCCATGCCTTACATCAGCCAGTTGGCACTGTCTGGTGTATTCAGATGCCCAGTCCACAGCAGTCCTGGCACACACTCAATTATGACTCATAAGAGCTTTGGCACAGCCCTACTGGTGTATGCATACCTTCAAATATTTACTGGACACCTACTGTGTGCTAGAGGCTGGAGATCCATTGAAAAGCACAGTCCTTGTCTGCACATAATAACTGAGTGCCTACTAAGTGCCACACACTGGGTTAAACCTTCTAGCAACTCTTTGACCTCACTGAGGAAATCAAGGCTCGCAGGGATGCACTGATTTGTCCATAATCACGGAGGTAGGAAGGAACAGAAAACCAGCATTCAGCCCAGGTCTGACTCCAAGCCCCTGCTTAGCCAAGGACTTCGTGTTCTTGAGGGAGAGGCTTTCTGCTCTATCACAGCACTAGCCTCTGCTCTGAACTTTGTTCTCATTCCCTGTGGTCTCACTGTTTTGGAGAACTGTACTTATCTGGATATAACCTAAGCCAGACCTGGAAGCCCTTTTAACTTCTTATTCTTCCTTAGCTCCTATTTGGTCAGAATGTCTCTCTCATAAATACCCCTCTAATCCACCTCTCTCTGTTATCCTACCATTCATTGTCTGAGTTCTGGCCACCCCATCTCACATGAATTGCTTTGAGTACCTCTGCCCTGATGTCCCTGGCTCATCCTGCCCTCTCTTCCAATTCACTATCCATGTTGCAGCCAAAGTAACCTTTCTTAGGACTAAATCTGATATAATATTTACATAGAAATAAATAGGAACCAATTACTGATACATGCAACAACATGTATGAATTTCTACAAACATGCTGAGTGAAAAGAAGTCAGAACATACTATAGAAACCACACAGAAACATGGTTTCATTTCTAGGAAACTGTACAAAAGGCAAACCCATCCCTAGTGAAACAAAGCAGGTAAGTTATTGTCTGGGAGCAGGAGGAAGAGGGGACTGACTCCAAAGGGGCACAAGGGGACTTATCTGATAGAAATATTCTCTATGTCAGCTGTGGCCATGATTCTACAAGTGTATATTTGTTAAATCTCAATGAACTGTACCATCAAAGGGATATATTTTATTGTATGAAAATTATACCTTAATAATACTGTTTAAGAAAGAAGTAAATGTGGCCATGTCACATTCTTACCTAAACTTCCTGGTGCCTCCAAGTGGCTGTAAGGGTAATGCAAAACTCCAGAGCCGAGAACCCGACACCCTCCGTGACCCTGTCACAGTCCTACCTTCCAGGCTTACCTCTCAGCACTTCTTCAAACCCACCCTGTGCTGCACTGAATGCCCCTTCCCATGCTCCCTATCTGGGAAACAGATTCATCCTTCAGTTTGCTGAATAAGCCTCATGTCCCCCAGGGAGCATTCACTGAATGTTCCTTCCAGGAAGACTAAAGCACTCCCTTTCCAGGTTCCCACTGCATTGCGTACTGACCTCAACTGCAACACTTCTTGCAGTACTGTAATTACTATTTACATGTCCTCATGCCTCATGCTTCCCAACTCCACTGTAGAGGAAACATCCCAAGATCAGAGACTGTGCTTTATTCATGTCTGTATCTCCAGTGTCTAGCACGAAGTAGGTACTCAGTCAAGTTTGCTGAAAATTAAATGAAGGACTCAACTTGTGCAAACTAAACTGGGCTATGCTCCTGACGCTCCTCAACCCCCAGGCCCCCACTGAGGTGAGCCCTGATCATGTGAGGGTGGGCTAGACTAATACTTCTCCCTGCCACATCCCCTCAGGACCATACACTTGTCCTCACAAAAATCTGTTTGGTCTCCCACTGGTGGCAAATCATATTTAAATAAGGACCTAAGCGACAGAAATGGCAGTGGTTACCACCACAGTTTTGCTGTCATCAGGATACTTCCTCCATAGCCCTCCTCCAAATCTGCCCACCCGACTTTCCTAGAGTCCACTCACCAGGCATTCCAGGAGACGTGCTGGGCGGGCAATGACAATCATCAGCTTTTTCACCAGCTGCATCACAAAAGCCACTTCCGAGCTCTCTGAGCGCTCATGAGCCTATAGAGAAAAGAAGGGTTGCTTAAGCAATCTATTGGCCCAGTGTGGCTGGGCTAAGCAGGACCAGACTGGGCAGAGCTGATTCCAGGGAGAAACAATTCGGTAGCACAGAGAGCTCCGCCAAGCAAGGAACTCCGAGAAGGCTGGCTGGCTGTGAGAGGGAGCGAGTTGCTCACAGGGAACCATTTGAGCTTTAGAACACTACATGACACCGAGAAATGCCACACAGACATACAGCTGTACCTGCTCCTCCATCCAACAAACCTCACTTACCCTGCAGACCCCAGCTCAAGGGGCAACTCTCAATGGCGCCTTCACTGATGTTCACTTTCCACTCTAGACTGTAAGGAGTAGAAAGACCTCAAAGCTGAGGGTGATATGACCAGAAAGGTACTTCAGAAGGATCACTCTGGCTGCAGTATAGAGGGTACACTAAAGAGGGCAAGGCTAAATGCAGGAAAACCCATTAGCAGGCAACTCTAATAATTCAGATGAAAAAGGCATAGGTTGGCTGGGTGTGGTGGCTCAAGCCTGTAATCCCAGCACTTTGGGAGGCCGAGGCAGGCGGATCATGAGGTCAGGAGATCGAGACCATCCTGGCGAACACAGTGAAACCCTGTCTCTACTAAAAATACAAAAAAATTAGCCGGGCGTGGTGGCGGGCGCCTGTAGTCTCAGCTACTTGGGAGGCTGAGGCAAGAGAATGGCATGAACCTGGGGGGCAGAGCTTGCAGTGAGCCGAGATTGCAGTGCCCCTGCACTCCAGCCTGGGCGACAGAGCAAGATTCCGTCTCAAAAATAAATAAATAAATAAATAAATAAATAAATAAATAAATAAATAAAAGACAAAGGCATGGGTCAAGGCAGAAGAATGCAGACAAAGGGACAGGTGTGAGCTACTACTAAAGCAGATAAGGGTGAAAGCAGCCCAAACAGAAGGCAACTCCAACTTCAATTTTAGGAAAATTTCAATGAATACGTGAAATAGTAACTATAAGAAGCCATTTAGGTGATAGGTAAAGAATGTACTGCATTTGGTTTTAGAGAAAGAACAGCTAGGCAGAAAAGATAAGCTCAGTTCTGGGCGTGTAGAGTTTCAGGCACCTATATGAGAGAGTCTCTTGGGTATCTCTTGGTCCAGGGGCCTTTCTCTTTTTCCCTGAGAACTGCTCTGGTTTCTAGGAGCCACATTTGTACTGTGTGTCTGCACCTTCTCTCCCACCTCTAATAGCTGACCAGGGAGGATCACTTTCCTAGGAATTTAAAAAAGGATAGAAAGATAATTGTTAACATCAGTGTGGCAGAAACTATTTAAGAACTGTGACAAGGGATGGCCGTACCTACCATGGAGACAGAGAAAAGATGCATACAGGAAAAGAAAGAATGAAGATTTCCTGAGCTTCCTGGAGCTTCTGGTTTCTAGTTCTGGTTCCTTTTTAAGGCCTGGTTATATCCCTCGCTTCAATTCTCTAAGACCTACCCCTTTTACTCTTATAATGTTTCCCTTTACCGTTTAAACTATTCTGAGTCAGATTTCTATTACATGTAACCAAAGAATAAGAACCAATATGGGGAAGTCAAAGTGGAGGAGTCCACCAGGCAGCTGGGTGCACTGATCTGAAGCTCAGGAGAACAGTAAGAGTGGCAGCCACATGTGGAAGTCCTCAGCGTAGAGATGACAACTGAAGACATGGGAGCAGGTGGCAAGACATCAGAGAGAGAGTAGAGGAAGGGGAAAGGGGAAAACAGGCATGCAGGATGGTGCCCTGTGACACACCAGTATGAAGAGGTGGGCAGCAAAGGAACTTGTGAAGAGGCAGCAAGACTGGTGAGAACGGTGAATTGACAACTGGGGAAGGGGGTTCAGGAAGTATCCGCTGTGCTCCACAGGGAGGTGGCAGAAGATGGGAACTGAAAGCAGACACAGGATTTGGCAATTGGCCAGTGAGTTCCTTGGTGAATTTTGCCTGAACAGTTTTGGTAAGGTGGGAAGGGAAACCGGAAGGCAGAAGATTGAGTAGTAAATAGGATACAAGGAAAGAAAAACAGTAAATGAGGACTTTTCTTTTTTTAAAGTATTGGTTATGAAATGAAGAGAAAGGATGAGCGGTTGGTGAAATCCCATTTATTCTTTTAAAACCTGTCTCCTGTTCCCAACACACATATACATACACATGTGAAGAAAAAGAAGTAATTGCTGTCTTTAACATGTTCTCCTGGCTGTTCGTGCATACCACATGGTACTGTCATGCTGTTTCATAACGAGCTATCTGTCTCTACAGCTACACTGCTGGGCCTAGTGAGTAAAGAGGCTCTGTGTCTTTTTCTTTTTCTTTTTTTTTTTTTGAGACAGAGTTTCGTTTTTATTGCCCAGGCTGGAGTGCAATGGCTCAATCTTGGCTCACTGCAACCTCCGCCTCCCAGGTTCAAGCGATTCTCCTGCTTCAGCCTCCCGAGTAGCTGGGATTACAGGCATGTGTCACCACGCCCGGCTAATTTTGTATTTTTAGTAGAGACGGGGTTTTCTCCATGTTGGTCAGGCTGGTCTGGAACTCCCGACCTCAGGTGATCTGCCTGCCTCAGCCTCCCAAAGTGCTGGGATTACAGGCGTGAGCCACCGTGCCTGGCCCTTTTTCTTTCCTCAAATGCTAAGCCTAGCAGAGTGCCTCCCATACAGCAGATGTCAGTCAGTGTTTGTGGACTGTTTGAAAATGTATGATCTTAGGCTCTGGAATAAGCCAAACCTGGGACTGGGTCCTGGTTTTGCTACTTAAAAAAATAAGTTATCTTGAGCTAACTTAGTTTCCTCATCTGTAAATTTAGGAAATAATATTAAGTACGTTCCTTACAGGGTTGTGAAGATTTCATCAGGTAAATTAAACGAGGTAATGTAGTGTCTAGCATGTATTAAATGCTCCATAAATGTTACGGATTTTTATTATTCTAAAATCTGACCAGGTCATTTTTCAGTTTGTCACACTGGATGATACCCACTGCCTTCATGATACAATCTAAGCTCCTCATAAGGCCCTTCAGCATCTGGCCCCCAGTCCAACTCTTCAAATTCATCTGCCAGCAGGTCAGGTGCAGTGGCTCACACCTGTAATCCCCGCACTTTGAGAGGCCAAGGCAGGGGGATCACTTGAGATCAGGAGTTTGAGACCAGCCTGGCCAATGTGGTGAATCCCTGTCTCTACTAAAAATACAAAAGTTAGCTGGGCGTGGTGGCAGGCACCTGTAATCTCATCTGCTAGGGAGGCTGAGGCAGGAGAATTGCTTGAACCTGGCAGGTGGAGGTTGCAATGAGCCAAGATCGTGCCACTGCACTATAGGCTGGGTGACAGAGTAAGACTCAATCTCAAAAAAAAAAAAAAAAAAAAAAAAAAAAAATCATCTGCCAGCTTTTCCCCTGTGGGTGTCTTTCTTTCTTTTCTTTTCTTTTTTTTTTTTGAGACGGAGTTTCGCTCTTGTTGCCCAGGCCAGAGTGCAATGGTGTTATCTTGGTTCACCACAACCTCCACCTCCGGGTTCAAGCAATTCTCCTGCCTCAGCCTCCCTAGTAGCTGGGATTACAGGCATATGCCACCATGCTCAGCTAATTTTGTATTTTTTGTAGAGCTGGGGTTTTCTCCATGTTGGTCAGACTGGTCTTGAACTCCCGACCTCAGGTGATCCGCCTGCCTCGGCCTCCCAAAGTGCTGGGATTACAGCATGGGCCACCATGCCCGGCTCCACTATGGGTGTCTTTTACTGTAGTTATGCAAACTACTTCATCTGCAATTTCTGGAATGTACCAAGTTTCTTTACACCTTTGAGAGGTTATTTATTTATTAAGAGACAGGGTCTCACCCTGTCATTCGGGTTGGAGTACAGTGGCACAATTACAGCTCACTGCAGCCTCGACCTCCAGGGCTCAGGCAATCCTCCCACCTCAGCCTCCTGAGTAGCTTGGATTACAGGTGCATGCCACCATGGCTGGCTAGTGTAGAGATGGGGTCTCACTTTGTTGCCCAGGCTGGTCTCAAGCTCGTGGGCTCCAGTGATCCTCCCACCCTGGCCTCCCAAAGAGCTGGGATTACAGGCATGATTCACTGTGCCCAAGTAAGAGGTTGTTTATGCTTTTTCCTAGCTTCAGTGAACTCCTATCTGTTTAAGATTCAGCCTTCCCTGAACTTTCCACAAAGAGTCAGCATATCCTTCTCTGTGCTCAGAACCTACTTATCTCTAGTGCTCATCAATCATATTGTACTGTAGTCAGTGGAAGTGACAGAATTCATATAAAGTATTCAGTGTAGTAATAGCTGTTACTTTTATTAAGTACATGTTGATGGGTCTGTAACCCCATTGATGGCAAATTCCCTAAGATAGAGCCTGCACTGAATTCTTTTCTGCATTCCAAAGGCCTCGCAAATTAGGGAACAGATGAACAAACTGGTTCCAAATTCAGTGCTCTTCTTATTGTATCAAACAACCTAACCGCACAAGCAGTCAGTCTGGGAAAATGCCTAAAGGTTTTGAGCAAGGTTCTGACTTCAGCATTTTAGAAGATAAATCTTAAACGTACCAGGAAACTTGGAAGTTACTCTACATTAATCCTTTACCAAATGCAGTAATCCCTGATTCCTAAATGTCTCTGGGGTGCCCCTTTCCATTGCTGGAAAACTGTCAGAAAGCTTTTCCTGAACAGAAACAAACATCTACCAGCGATTTTCACGGGGCTCTGGCTTTCTAAAGTTATACTTCTACAATGTTTGATTTAAAATATTTCTTTTGAAATCAGAAAAAGATATTTTTGTAGAAGGAAGTACTTTTTCACCTATTAAATCAAAATCTTTCTTCCTGTAACTCCTGCCCACTGGACTAATTATGTCTTTCAGGGGTACTGAGAACAATCTGCTCTTTTTTATATATGAGAAACTTTCCACTACTTGACAATAATCATTTCTCTAGATTGAACTGTTCCCTGAAAATGTGTTTAAACTCCCCGCTCCTTCTTATTTCTAGACGAACACACTGATGTCCTTTGATCATCAGCCCGGGGCCCTCAGCTCAGTCGGTACTACTCCAGAGAGAGGTCTTGGTCTGGAGGTAATAAGGAGTTCTGGACTGGGAAATTCTCTAGTGACATGATGAGCTCTGGGGAGACAGGCACATCCTCTCTCCCCCAAACCGTATTAATGGGTAACATGGAGCCGCTGTGGTCTGAGTGAGATGGCATCTGGCCACCTTAATCAAGAGGCTGATAGCAAAGGAAGCGCTAGTGCAGGAAGCAGTGCTTAAGAACTCTCATGTGCTTTGGTCTTGGCCATCTCTAGATTACTTTACCTTTAGCCTCCCAGAGATTTTTTCACACCAGGGAGGATCAGGTCTCAAAACATGTAAGTCCTAACTAGAGAACTCTCCATGCAAATGGCTAAACCCATCATGCAAGCCTCATACCTGTTTTCCCTTGGCTGAGGATAAACAGTCTGAAGGCTCTGCTTAAACCAGTATTTCCAGTAGAAGAAAGCCCATCACAGCTACTGGAGCCACTTTTTGGCTTTGGGTAGCAAACCTCCTAGTCAAATACTTATGAGTACTACCCATGGTGGAGCTTCGCGCAGTGATACAACTTTGGATTTAGAAAAGGAACACAAGTGAGTTCCTTTGATACCAAGCAGGCTTCTCTCACTATTGCAGGGGACTGAGGAATCTAAGCCCCTCAGCTCTGCCTTCGAGGGTGGGTAAGAAGCAGTCTGTGAAGACTGAGAATACCACTAACGCCCTGATCCTAGCTTGGGATTATGAATCCAATACCAGGTAGAGGTTTTTTCAGAACCCCAGCACAAGGACACTCACATCTTGTACAAGTTTCTCCAAATTCTCTTGAAGTTCATAGAAGTATTGTGATGTAATGAGGCCACTCCGAGATTTATCCAGGCAGTCTCGGGCCATCTCAATCACCTGATGATGAATAAAGCTCAGGGCTCCATCCGCCAAGGGCAGCACGCTGTCTGGGGTGTTGGAGGAAATAAACTCTGCTAGTCGTTCTTCCATTTGTGCGGTGGCCTGGGAAGAAAAGCAAGAAAAACACACTTCCCTTCTAGTCCCAGCTCAGTTGGAGCTAAGCCTGAAGGACCTGGAAATAGTAAAATAATGGGCTCCCTCTGATCCTGGTTTCCTTACACTGCATTTGGGAAACCTGATAACTGAAGACATTAATAGATCACCTTCAAGTCAAGATGCCTTAGCTTTATATTCAAGGCCCTCTTTCACCTGGCCTTGCCCATCTCCCCCAACTCCCTCCAGGGCAAGCTCTTTTGCTGTAAGGACACACAAGTGTTTGCTATCTTCCTCCTTTACTATGCTGTTTCATGCCTGTCTGTTTATGCTGTTCCCTGTGTATGGCTTTTTCACCCTGCCAAGCCTGCCTGGCAAACTAATTCTCCTTCTCATCTCAGTTCAAGTATCGTGTCTCCTCTGGGAAGTCTTTCATTTCCCCAGGCAAACGGGTTTCCATTCCTCTGTTCTTCCACTGGACCTCCCAACTGTGTAAACTTTGTATATGGGCACTGCTGGTTTCTAAATTGGGAAGTTCTTTAAGTCAGAGAGAGTTTCATTTATCTCAGGATCTTCTTACTTAACCTTAGGACCCAAGGGAGTTAGGCAGGTGCTTGGAGAGCTGCTTAGTGAACCTGTCTGGTCACAGATGGCGAGTTGGAATGGGGGGACTGTGGATAGGAACATAACCCTGGCCTGGATCCCCAGCAAAGGAGAATGGAGGTCTGACTCCAAACCTCTAGGGACCTAACTACGCGGTCATGTCAAAATGACAAATACACATCTGTGAACGAGTTCTCAGCTGCCTATCTAAGACTCTGCCTTACTTCTTTGCTACCAGGTGGTGATTTCTGATTTTCAGTGTGTGTTTAGGTGAATGTATACTTACATACATATATATGTGCTGTGTTTACGTGGAGAATGAAAGAGGAAGAGGTGAAAGAGTGGGAGTAGAGGAGAAAGAAGGAAGTGAAGGAATCTTAACACATTTTCTCCAACAATAGTTCATCCTATAGGAAGGAACTGGAAACATGCCTATAAACACAAACATCCAATACTACAAAAACACCTAATATACAAGGAGGAGGAGGGCAAGCATGAGATACATTTCTCAACATTATATACTCCCAAACTTCATAAACACCAAGTACATCAAAATGAATTCCTAGCTATTTGTTCTGCCTCCTTCCTCACGTTTATTGTCTAGTGCCACTCCAAAGCTGGAAAGCACAGACCATGGGGCACAGGTTCTACAGTCCAGTATCCCTTCTCAGTCAGGAACAGGGCCTATCTTCAGAAGGCCAGGTCCGAGTGTACAGGCATGTGGTGTTGAAAAAGACATGCAAATGGGGCCGGGTGCAGTGGCTCATGCCTGTAATCCCAGCACTTTGGGAGGCTAAGGCGGATCACCTGATGTCAGGAGTTCGAGACCAGTCTGGCCAACATGGCAAAACCTGTCTCTACTAAAAATACAAAAATTAGCCAGGCGTGGTGGTGCATGCCTGTAGTCCCAGCGTCTCAGGAGGCTGAGGCAGGAGAATTGTCTGAACCCCGGAGGCGGAGGTTACAGTGAGCCAAGATGGTGCCACTGCACTCCAGCCTGGGTGACAGAGCAAGACTCCATCTCTTAACAGAAAAAGAGACATGCAAATGGGAAACAAGATCCTAGTTCCATATACAAGGAGGTTCACAGCCAAGCAGCAGAGTTATGACTGCTACTTCTCAGCTATCTCAGGATACCAACCTACTTTCCTCCCTAAGGATTTTCCTGCTTGAAAATGAAAATTCAAATGGTAGTAAGCAACTCTGAGATCTGTCTCCCATTCCTACTGCTCTCTCTGGCCTTCTTGCCAGTGCAGCCTACTTCTGTCTGTGTACTCTCTGACACCTGGTAATGAGGTGCTGCTTAAGAAATCTCTATCAAATGACGATGCCACCAGAGGGCAAATCCTGTAATGAATGAACCCTGACTCATGGATCCTCATAGGCACAGTGAGAAGTAAAGCCTCCAGTTCTTTCTTTCCTCTTTAATATATGGTGGGATACCTTTCTGACATTCCCCTCTGGATAACCTACTTCTGGGTAGTGAAGAAACAAAGGCTCTGCAAATACAGTTTCCAAACTCATAGTCTCCTGCTGTCTCCTTCTCAAGCAGTCTGGAAGCCCTTGTTGCTGTGTCCACAGCCTCCTGGCTGACTTTCTGTCCTTCTTGGTTATCTCTGGAGGTAGCACTTCATTCCCTCACTCCAGAGTCTTCCCAATGGGGCTGGCTGTAGGCAGCCGCCCTGGGGGGCATTGCTACTCTCCTTTTAAATGGATCCTTACCTTTGGGAATCTTTCTTTGTACACATGATTCATCATTATTATTTCACTGTCAAAGGAGACTGGGGATCGTCCAGGACTAAAAAAAGAAAAGAAATGATTGTGTTACTTTAGGGCTATGGAACTATCAAGGAGAAAAATGGCCATCCCCAGAGACCCTGCCCCTCCCATCATCTTCAGCAGCCTACACATTTCCACCTTAATAGGTACTGAGTTCTAGAGCCTTTCTTATTCCTGGAGTTTTCAGTGTACCTTGTTCAGTTCAAAATGGTACTATATGGAGCTAGGCTTGGTTTTCACAAAGACCTCTTCCAGGCTAGAAAGACCTAGAAAGGGACCTACTCCTAAGCTCACTGGTGGCTTTCCCAGGATAACCTTCCCCAGAGTAGGATTCTGTGTCCTCTTAGTTTTGGCCAATAGGGTTGGGTGTGCCCCAGCATATTCTTAGGAACAAAGCAAATAAAAAAACTACCAAAGCAACCAAAGGAAGACGGTGCACACGTACATTTTTTTCCAAACTAGCTGCAGCCAGTGGACCTAACTTAGGGATGAATGAGGCCAGTCCAGACTGTTGTGAGTTATACATCTGGGTCATTTACTGAAGGGAGCCAATATGTTTTCTGCTTTAATTTATTATCTTCCCTGATAACCTACATCTCCCCCTCTGGCTCATGTGTGGTTATATCTCCTTAAAAAATTTCAAAGTTGGAGCCACATAGTTGAACGGATATGTGGGTCTTGCCCAGTTTACTGCCCCTGACACATGATCCCAGAGGTGCTAGATCCACAACTGTCCCACTCTGTCTTTCTTCCCTGGAATGTGCCATGTTGTGCCTGCTGTACTGCTGCACATTACCAAGGATTTAAGAGTAATATACCAGGGATTTCTCTGAGCATCACTGTAGGCCTCTCAATCTCAACTGGCCTAAAAGGTACCCTTCTCTGTGCATGGGTTATTGAGACCACCAAGACTCAGATGTTCCTCTGTGAGACAGAGAAAGGCACTGGAGATTCACACCTGCTCGTTTGTATGCTTGATCCTTCACACTTAAGCCCCAGATACCATCTTCATCAGTCTCTGAACCTGAACCAGTCATCGTGGTCTGGCCCAGCTTTCCTGTCACTCCCGGTGCAGTGCCAGCATTACCTGAGGGGATTCTTTCTGGGAGGAACTGCTGCTCCTCTGGGATCCTGCCCTGCACATATTAGCCAATCAATTACTTCTCAGGGACCCTGCAATACTGAGCTCAGTCATTAAAGTCATGTTCATCTGAATCTCCATCATCTTCCTTAACCTAACATTCTGGCACTGATTTACTAGCTAACGCCAAGGAGAATCAAAAATTAATCAGCAGCTGTTAAGGTTTGTTTGGTTTGATGAACATGTGCCCAGGTGATTCACAGAATAAAGACAGATTCAAAGGGACATTTAATTCTGCTTTTGAAATGGGCTTCTTCCCCACGCCAGCAACCTGTCTTCAGCAGCAACTTTTTTAGCTGGCCTAGATCATACACCCAGGGCCAATGGGTTCTGGAGCCAGATAACCATCAGAATTGATGATACCATTGTTCTCCTTTTACCGAATGTAATCTAAAGTATATTTCTGCTGCTAACTACCCTTAAACAGAATAAAAGAGGGATCAGTTGACAGTATTGCTAAATACCTCCTGGGGTGATGGGTTGAGCTGTACCTGAAGCCAAAAAGAGCTTGGGCTTTGCTGAACTTGACTCACTGAAGCTGGCCAATGTATTATGCCAGGGGTAGCAAACTACAGCCTGCAGACCACTTATGGCCTAATACTTTTTTTTTTTGGTAAATAAAGTTTATATATTATTTGTGGATACTTACTACAACAGCAGAGTTGAGGAATGTGACCAAGATATATGACCTATAAAGCCTAAAACTATTTACTGTCTTGGCCCTTTATAGCACAAGTGTGCCCACCCCTGTGCTACACAAACGAGCTGAAATCCACATGCACTGGGACAGTGGGCAGACAGCACTCTCACCTGAGGCTCCGGGAGCGGGGCCGCATGGCTGGGGACTGCCGTCCCTCCTCATCTGGTACGCTCTCTGTGCTGAAATGCTTCGTCAAAAAGTGCAGCTCATCAGCTGTAGGCTGGAAAGGCAACTGATGCAGCTTTTCCTGTGAGGAGCATGATGACTAGAAGGGAAAACATTAAGAAGTGGCATCAAAGACATGTCCCAGAGCAGTCCACGAATGGGGAAGGACTGAAAATGGTCAGGGAACTTCCCAGTCACTATAAACCCAAAGCAGGTCTTCTTTCCTCCACTCCCTTAGCCTTGTCTGTGCTTGATCCTATTCTCCAGCCCTTCAGAGCCCTCAGCCCTGAGGAACCCAATATACTGGAGTCCTTCAAGGGTTGTGCAGGGAGTTGGGCCCAGACCTTCATGGAATTTTAGAACTGCAAAAGTAGTTAATAAATCATGCTTCCTCACTTGGGACATGTTCTAGGTATGCCCAGCTGTGAATAACATCCTCTTACGTTCTCCCTTCCACAATCTTGAGAGAGCCACCCTGGGGGCAGCTCAGCAATGTTTCCTTTTGGCTGGTATCTAAAGAAGTGCCTTTTCTGGGGTTGTAAAGGCTGTGCCTAGACTCAAGCTGGCCACTGTATTATGCCAGGGGTTAGCAAACTATAGCCTGCAGACCAGCTATGGCCTGGTGTCCAGCAGGTAAGAAAATCCAGCAGGGAAGAAAATTACTTTTACATCTGGACCCAAAGATTAGGCTTGACCTGAAAACACTCATGAATTCTAAACATGGCTCAGTGACTGAGGACTCCTCACAATAGCACTGCCAGTCTCAACAGACCATCTGAGGGAGGGTGCTCGGCTATCACAGGACTTCCACAAGTGCAGCTAATACTGAAGCACCCATTCGGCCCCAGGACTGGGGAACTCCCCCCATTACCTGACAAGACTGACAAAGAGAACAGGCAAGTTAAACATTGTCAGCCCAAGTTCTATTTACCAAACTGATCACTGATCTGGGGTTTTGTTTTTGTTTTTGTTTTTTGAGACGGAGCTTCGCTCTTGTTGCCCAGGCTGGAGTGCAATGGCATGATCTTGGCTTACTGCAACCTCCACCTCCCGGGTTCAAGCGACTCTCCTGCCTCAGCCTCCTGAGTAGTTGGGATTACAGGCATGTGCCACCATGCCTGGGTAATTTTGTATTTTTAATAAAGACGGGGGCCGGGCGCGGTGGCTCAAGCCTGTAATCCCAGCACTTTGGGAGGCGGAGACGGGTGGATCACGAGGTCAGGAGATCGAGACCATCCTGGCTAACACGGTGAAACCCCGTCTCTACTAAATATTACAAAAAAAAAACTAGCCGGGCGAGGTGGCGGGTGCCTGTAGTCCCAGCTACTCGGGAGGCTGAGGCAGGAGAATGGTGTGAACCCGGGAGGTGGAGCTTGCAGTGAGCCGAGATCTGGCCACTGCACTCCAGCCTGGGCGACAGAGCAAAACCCCGTCTCAAAAATATATTTAAAAAAAAAAAAAAAAAAGACGGGGTTTCTCCACGTTGGTCAGGCTGGTCTGAACTGCCGACCTCAGGTGATCTGTCTGCCTTGGCCTCCCAAAGTGCTGGGATTACAGGTGTGAGCCACTGTGCCTGGCCTGTTTGTATTTTTTTCAGAGACAGGATTTTGTTCTGTTGTCCTGGCTGGAGTGCAGTGGAGTGATCATAGCTCACTGCTGCTTCAAACTTCTGGGCTCAAGTGATCCTCATGCCTCAGCTTCCTAAGCAGCTGAAACTGCAGGTGCATGACACCATGTCCAGCTTTTTTTTTTTTTTTTTTAAATAAAGTGACAGGGTCTTGCTGTGTTGTCCAGGCTGGTCTTTTGGAACTCCTGCTCTGACCTCCCAAAGTGCTGAGATTATAGGCCTGAGCTACTGCTTCCAGAGCCAGGGTTTAAATATCTAAATCCATTTAAGAATCAAAGCTAGGCCAGGTGCGGTGGCTCACACTTGTAATCCCGGCACTTTGGGAGGCCCAGGTGGGCAGATCATGAGGTCAGGAGATCAAGACCATCCTGGCTAACACGGTGAAACCCCATCTCTACTAAAAATACAAAAAATTAGCCAGGCGTGGTGGCGGGCACCTGTAGTCCCAGCTGCTTGGGAGGCTGAGGCAGGAGAATGGCGTGAACCCAGGAGGCCAGAGCTTGCAGTGAGCCGAGATGTGCCACAGCACTCCAGCCTGGGCGACAGGCGAGACTCCACCGCAAAAAAAAAAAAAAAAAGAACCAAAGCTAAAGCACCACAAAAAAAAAAAAAAAAGAACCAAAGCTAAAGCACCACACTGAGACAACTCTGTTGTCACAGGCTTAATAAACAAGTGAGAAATCAGCATTTCTTTTTGGCTAACAGTGCACATTTTCTCTCACAGAATGCTATAATACATGAAGTTATAAACAGCTAGTGAGATGTCTCCATAGGGTTATTTCTTGGCCACATTTTAATAAATGATTTGGATAAAGTTGCAAAAAGTATTCTTACCAGCTATAGCTAACATGAAACTAGTGAGGCAGTGTAAACTACAGTGGGCAAAACTGGTATTTTAAAGAATCCTAATAAACTGGAGCAATGAGTTAAGTCTATTAAAATTTGCAGAAAAGGAATATTTATACATAGATGAGACTTACCTTGGTTCTAAAAAAATCACTTGTTTGAGTAAAGAGTTATGGGAAAGGGGATTTTTTTTTCTTTTTTTTGAGACGGAGTCTTGCTCTGTTGCCCAGGCTGGAGTGCAGTGGCGTGATCTCGGCTCACTGCAATCTCTGCTCACTGCAATCTCCGCCTCCTGGTGGTTCAAGTGATTATCCTGCCTCAGCCTCCCGAGACGCTGGGACTACAGGCGCCCGCCACGACGCCCAGCTAATTTTTTGTATTTTTAGTAGAGATGGGGTTTCACCATGTTAGCCAGGATGGTCTCGATCTCCTGACCTTGTGATCTGCCCGCCTCAGCCTACCAAAGTGCTGGGATTACAAGTGTGAGCCACCGCGCCTGGCCTGGAAAAGGGGATGTTTATTAGGGAAAGACCTTAAACTTAACAGCTGCCAAAGACCAGTGACATCTTTGGATTAGTGTGATAGTAATATCTAGGTTGGAAGAGGAAATATACTCCTTTTCCCTGCTCGAGATTCAGGAATAAAGGCACAATGAGCAGGGAAGACCTGAAGAATGCTGCAAGCAATGGGGATGGGGTCAGCAGGTCTACGGCCTGCTTCTGTATGGCGTGCAAAGACTAAAACATTTACTCTACATTTGGCCCTTTACAGAAAAAGTTGGTCAAGCTTGTAACTGTGGTTTTAATAAAAAGTTGCTCGGCTGGGTGTGGTAGTTCACGCCTGTAATCCAAGCACTTTGGGAAGCCAAGGCAGATGGATGGCTTGAGCCGAGGAATTTGAGACCAGCCTGGGAAACATGATGAAACCCCGTCTCTACAAAAAATTAGCCTGCTACAGGGTGGGCATGCCCCTGCAGTCCCAGTCTACTCAGGAGGCTGAGGTGGGAGGATCATCTGAGCCTGGGGAGGTTGAAGCTGCAGTGAGCAGTGATTGCACCACTGTACTCCAGTCTGGCCAACAGTGGCACTCTGTTTCAAAAAAAAAAAAAGGTTGCTCAATGAAGGCTTACTTAAGGGTCAATTGTGCATAGCAGCAATTAGTATAGCTCTTGTGTTTTAGGCTAAAACATTCTCCATAAGAAACGTTTTAGAGACAGGTCCAGCTTTTTGCTTCATACACATCAAACTTGGATATCAAATAACAATCACTCTTCCCTTCTTTTTTGAAAGAAAAAGGCAAAAAAGAGAGGAGAGTCTACCAAGTGTTTTGGATATGAGAAAGGTGATCTATCTGCTCTTGGTTCCAGTTCTAGAAATAAGAATGGAGGAGTAGGAGAAGTGTGCTTAGGAGCCCCCATACCTGGTCTCACTGTCAAAGCAAAAGTTCATCCTCAAGCTCTCCTCTGCCTCCACTAGATGTAACTGATTCCCAGAGAGGGCACTAGTCATCCTTTCTGAAGGCACTTATGGAGCTGGCTATGGTTGGGAAGGGACACCAGCCCTCTGTTGCACCCAGCATCATCTCTAAGCAACCTCTTTGAGTTTGACTTTGGAGAAAAACTTGACAACCATTTTGTAACACTAGATAACCCCAAGGGAAGTACTTCCTCAGGGTGAAGGAAGTATGACCACAGATTTGGCTACTTACTGAGACAGTGGAGCTAGGAGTGTTAGTTCCATATCCTGAAGAGGGCAAAGAGGCCAAAGACCAGCGCCGCCCATCAGTCCTGTATGCAAGAAAAAAGTATTAGGCAGTTTCTACAGGACTACACCCTGACCCACAACCTGCCTGTCTGTCCATCAGCATTTGGGGGCAGTTGATTCACTGTAGGGCTCCTCCTTAAGACATTACTGCTCAATCCAGTACATGCTTTTATATCTCTCTCCTACAGAGGGCTTATTGTTGTTTTCCCTGAAAAGACAGACATCTCTGACTATAAAATAGTCCATGACTTTGTATAACAGAAGAACATCTGTCATACAACACTGGTTTTGGAATAAACATTTTCATACTCTCAACTTACTTTCATAGAAACAATGACAGAGGATTCCAGCTACAGGCAACATCACAAGATAGAACTGCCACTGAAATGCAGCTATTTCCGTTTGTGAAGGCTCCATGTTAAGGGCTCTTTGGTCTTCCCCAGGCCACTGGCTGACAACAGGAAGAAGTGGGCCACCATCTGGGTCTGAACTGAGCTAATCAATGGGAAATAGTTATAGGCTGCCTAGGGGCCATTAGGACTCATAAAACCAATCTTTGGGAATGTTTGTCGAAGAGTGACAGTAACTTTATGAAAGAGGAGGGAGGTGACATACCCTTAGCTGTATAAGAGGCTTTGGGGGAGGCTTCCTGCTGCTCTCAAAAGGATGCTCCCCAAAGCTCTCATGAAAACAAACAACTCTCCCCACACACACAGTTATTTGCTTTACTGTAGAGGGGAAAGATCAAGCAAGGATCTAGTTTGAAACTTTTATAACATGAACGTGTGATTCTTTGCTTGGACTGTGAGATGTGGTGTATTCTTTTTTGTAGGGCTTAAGGGTACAGCCTGCTCTGGTTGAAATTAGATTTTTTTTTTTGCTGCTACTCACGGAACCTTAGACTATCAGCAATGGAGGATCTTTATAAGTTCATATTACAATTTACAGAGAAAACACTAGGATCCTGAGATTTGGATGGTTTGTTCAAGGCTTCATGGTTACGGCAGGGACAGGGAGAGGAAGAAGCAAAAAGGAATACATCTTGCTGGGGCTTCTCCCTTCGAAGCACTCCTCCCCAACATCACCAATACCTAGCAGCTTTTCTACTCCATTCTGTAAGGGGTGAGTCGAAGGTTCCATGCCACATGCACATGACTCAAACTTCATGCCACCCTGGCAGCAGCACATATAGGCTATAACTCTGCTGGAACCTAGTCTCTGAGGTTCAGACATGTCCAGGAAGGTGCTCAGACATGATGTTCTCTCTGACCTCTTTGCTGGGTCCTGGGAGCACCACACAATAAAGCAAGCTGGTTCCAGGAAACAGCTCAGCAAAGATGAGACAAGTATAACTCAGGGTTGGTTTTGCCAAACCCTTGTCAAATACGCTTTTGCACATGTGAGTTTTCCTCCCCTTAGATAAAAATGAAAACCAGTTGCATGGCAGCTATTTCTCTGTATAATGAACGGCAGGGGCCACCAGAGTCAGGAAGAAATGCCACCACATGATGCCTCTGTTTCCTCTATCTGGTCACCGCAGTCACCTGACTGTGTAAAGTTGTGGGAATAAGGATGACTTGTCCCTAAGCTCAGAAGTTTGGAACTATTCAGCTATTCCTGCATCCAAGCACATGAGCTCTGAGCCTTGGTTCCAGCAGGTAGAGGGAGATCCCTTTGGGCCTCTTTGCAAGATATGAAAGGCCCAATGTTCATACCCAGTCAGAGAAGAATCATCACAACCAGTTTTCACCAACCACAACATCACAAACGATATTGTCTGGCCATGCATAGCAGTTTCCCAGCCCCTCTCCCCATTATACCCGCTATTACCTGTCAGCTCTGTGGCTATGGCTGTAGTAAAAAAATACACATTACAGTGAGAACCAAAGGAACCAGAGAGAGTAATTTTTTCAAATCTTGGTATTTGGTCTAGCTTGGCACATTCCTTCTGTTTAGGAATGTGTGATAGTTTGAAGTGAAATTGTAGGACCAATGGGTCTATCCTTAGTGTTCAATCTGTCTTTTGTTTGATATTGGAAACCAATGTGATCCTCCAAAGCACCAGCCAGTAACACAGAAACAAACAATTCCTGATACTCTGTTTGGCAGGGTTGAAACACTTCTCCCCACCCCACCAATAACCAGCAGCTTTTCCTACTATGTTCTATAAGAGGACAGCCCAGAGATCCATGTTCCATGCACATGACTCAAATGTCATGCCACTTAGCATAGACCTGTTTGTGTCTCAGTGGTAAAAAAAAAAATAGGTCCTGAGGCCTCCCAGTTGGTCCTACTCCCAAACCGAGGCAATGAAACAGACCCACGGTATCAATGGAACAGGCTGTTCCCTCTGCCTAGAATGGTCTGCACACACCTGGGTCCTCACACTTAACGTGCCAGCTGTTTTTCATCCTTCAGAGAGGCTTTACATGGCCACCCAATGGAGGTTCTCTGGCCTTAGTCTCTTCCTGTTCTTTTTTTGTTTTGTTTTGTTTTGAGATGAAGTCTCACTCTGTCGCCCAGGCTGGAGTGCAGTGGCACAATCTCGGCTCACTGCAAACCTGCCTCTCGGATTCAAGTGATTCTCCTGCCTCAGCCTCCTGAATAGCTGGGATTACAGACCTGCACCACCATGCCCAGTTAATTTTTGTATTTTTAGTAGAGATGGTGTTTCACCATGTTGGTCAGGCTGGTCTCAAACTCCCGACTTCAAGTGATCCACCTGCTTCGGCCTCCCAAAGTGCTGGGATTACAGGCGTGAGTCACTGCGCCCAGCCCTCTTTCTGTTCTTTCATGCAGCATCATGCTCTTTCCCTCTATGGTGCTTGTCATAATTTATATCCGTATACTTGTTTGTCTTTCTCTCCCACTACTCATTTGTCTTCCCGCCAGGACACAGAGCTTTCAACAAATGAAGGTATCTCTATTAAAGGTGACTTGATCGTGATTGAATTGAGACAGAAAATATGCAAATAAGAAAATATCAGGAACTGAAAAGTACTATTTTGAAAATAAAACTGGATGATTTGATGGAGAAAGACAAGAAGGCCCCTTTTAGATTGAATGTTTAGGGAAGGCCTCTCTGAGGAGGTGACGTTTAAGATGAGATATGAATCATAAGAATGAGTTAGCTAAATGAAGATTTGAGGGAGCAGCAGTCCTTACAAAGGAAACAATCAGTACACAGACTCTCCTACATCGTGAGTTTCAGGGAAGTAGGGACTATGTCTATTTTGCTACCACTACATAACTCAGCACCCAGCCGAGTGTGCCTGGCTCTACGTGGTGGTGCTTAGCAAATATTTATCGAATGAATGAGAAATAACTCAATGCCACCTATGGGGATCTGGCCACAGGTCTTGGTGTCCCAGCTCATACCTACTCTGAGAGTACAGTTGATATACAGTCCAGGCAGGAAGTCTGGGATAAGTCTTTCCACCTGGGTTGGAAAAACAAATACACCAATCCAGCATATTCTTACACTGTAAGTGATCTTATCTGGATCCTTGCTTAACAAATTGGAAGTTCTATAGGGTAGGAGAGATGAGCCTGTGGAACAACCCTGGATAAAATTTGTTTTGAATAAGGTAAGTGGGTTGAGGGAGGAAACCCAAATCAGTCATGAAACTTATCCCAACCTGTTCATGTTCTTTTCAGCCAAAAATGATCCTGGAAAGAGGATGGATTTCTTTTGGGTTATCATTGGAATAGTGAGTTAACACTGTTTCCAGGAGCCTCCCCTTTTCCTAATATGTCTTTTTTTAAAAAGTAGTCTAAGTATTAAAACTGTCCTGGCCTCCAGCTATATTACATTCTCCATCCATTAAAGGTTACAAATCTGGAACCATAATTTTCCTGGAGGTCTTATACTAGAGACTAACTCTAACAAAGAATAATGTTAAAAATTAAAAAATAAGATAAATATAAACTCTGGCAACAAATCTTAGAAAAGTTCTGACAAGAAACCACGTGTGTACAGAGCCTAGGTATGTGGTTTGGATGAATTAATCTCATTCGCCTTTCTCCAAAGGCCTGATGATATTCCAGCCACAGGCAGAGCTGTCAGCGTTGCTGCCCTGGGCCAGAGACAGGTTTGTATCACTCTCAAGAGGGGAGAAACATGGGAGGTGGACCATAAGCATGGCTTTGTATGCACCAAATCTTTCTAAATTCATGGAAGGAAAAGTGAAGTCCCTGTAGTCTCTTTATCCCCCAAACGAACTCCAGTTCAAAGTCAAGGCCCTTCCAGCCACCTTAAACTAGCTGAGTTAGAGAGGACAAAGAGTGTAACTTTGGGTCCTCCTGGAGGAGAGCTTATTTTCTCATTGATCACTCTAGGACAGTTCTCAATTGAGAGTGTAATGCTTTGGAACATACCCGCAGGACATCACGGACTTAAAAAAAAGTGAATTGTACAAATAAATCTACTTTTACTTAATATCTACTCTCCTGTTTAAATATTCAAACACAAATACATGGGGCACCTACAAAGCAAAACCAGAACACGATGATTACAACATGGGAGAGGAAAGCAAAGACAGAGTTTTGATGGATGGGAGCTTCAGGTAATACACTTGAAAGAATAGTGACACTTAAAGGAGGAATCTGACACTCAACTAACCCTCATGCAAGTGCCACAGGTGCTGGTCCCAGAGGAGGTTTTCTATCAACTTACCTACGGGCAGGAACAAAGGAAAAGTGAGCAGGTGCATTTGGAGAGAAATTCCGGGGGCTGTCCAAAGGACTGTTACCTGTTGATGGAAAAAGAAACGAAACTCTGTGAGGTTTGCTTTTGAGGAGGGCAGACATGACCTTTCGGCAAGAAATCTTCCCCTAGCACTGGCAATTATATAGTTATTTTCTCAGGGCCACTATCAGTTTAATGAGTTTCTGTAAAAGTTTCATAGCCCAGAGGTTTTCTCCCTTGTTCCCAAGTTTCCTATAACAACCCATGTCTCTCAGACAATCATTCTAGATCTAGCAGCAACTTGACTATTTCCTGCCCTCCTAGGAACACACCTGAGACTTCAATCTGTCTTGTCAAGTGAACCCACATTCAGAAGGCTTAAAGAGCTCATTCAGTACAGAGGGTATAGCCAAATGTTCATGCTTTCTCAAAGGGCAATAGGACCCCAATCCAAGTTTCTTAAATATATACCTCTCTGTGCACTGTATCCAAGGGCTAAACCAGGAACATGTGTATTTTAAGGGGAAAGAGAAGTTCTCAGGTAGGGACTCACGACAGTAGTACACCTTAAGATAGTTCATAATCAAGGCCCCCAAGTGTACAAAGCATACCACCACTTCTTATTAGTATTCACGTGCCCCTATAACTTGCTAACCTAAAGCTCAGAAGCTTTAAACAAAACTGTAAGTTTACCTTTGTACTAATCCCAATAGTTCTTAAACATAAGCCTGCCATACTTCTCTGGGCTATCTTCTAGTTGGGGGCTGGTACATAGGAGCCCCTAGCTGGCAGTTGTTAATATGACTCTACTCAAAAGGCCATGTTGAAGTAAGCACCATACTCCATGTTGTGCTGGCACCCCTCTAACCCCTGTCCACCTCCTCACTGCTGTGCTTACCTCCCAGGGGCCTCGTACTTCAGCATGCGCTGGCTTTCTCTTGGATAGCATGTTTCCTGCACAGGGTATGGATGTTCCAAGTTGCCAAAAACCTACCCCTTTGTTTCCCATTATCTCTATCCAATAGGGTTTATATAGCATGTAACGTCTTTTTATACTGATCTAGTACAAACCAGCCTCTCAATCAGTGCTCCTACTACCCTATGCAGCAGCACCTCTGTATCAATTATATAATGGCATTGTTTTTTGTTGAATGAGAAAGAGGCATTTTCAGCTTCTTCTCACCCCCAGGTGCATAAAATATACAACTTCATCCAGTGGATATGCTCTCAACATTGCATGAACTCTGGGTTTTCCATGCTTTGTGTGAGGACTATCTGTTATGACCTCTCCCCATCTTCTGGCTAGCGGGCACCAGGATATAAGGGAAGTGATCCTGAGTAGCTGTTTCCTTAGCCAGGACTTAATAAGGATCAGGTCTCCTCAGAAGCATCAAGGCTTATTTTTTAAAAACAATTTTATTATTTCTTGATAGTGTCATCTCATGTCAAAGATTAACAAATATCCAGTTTGATTCTTGACATGCAAAGTCAGATGCCCTTTGTTGGTTCCCAAAACTACCCAGCTAAAGCCTCAAGGAGATGCCTGGACATGAGCATCCTACAATAACTAGCCTTCCAAGGATCAGTCTGGGTACAGAGGTACAAAGAACCTTCCAGGTGCTCATAGTAGGGCTAGGGTTACATAACACACACGTATGTCAGAAATAACTAACACCGAGAGGAAAAAAAATTGTCAAAAAAACTAAACAGCACCACTGAGCTGTAGGACAACTTCAAGCAGCGGGAGGAGAGAGAGGGGGATACAGAAAAAAGATAGGAAGAAATAATGACTGACAACTTTGCAAATTTGATAAAAACCATATACCCACATGTTGTGTGACAGGATCTTTACCAGATTACTTAAAGGTACATATGTTCGCCTGAAACTTGAAGGCTAGGCCCATGGCAATGGTATCCAGCTGAGGAGCAGGTATCCCTGAGAACCAACCAAACATCCTAGAGAGTATCTGAGAACCTCTCAAGAAAAACAGTATCACTGTTCAAACACAGTAGGCAAAGATCCAGAAAATTAGCTTAAAAGCAGTTTAGAGGGAGCCAGGCGCAGTAGCTCAGGCCTGTCATCCCAGTTTGGGAGGCTGAGGAGGGTGGATCACTTGAGTGCAGGAGTCCGAGACCAGCCTCAGCAACATGGCAAAACACCCCATGTCTTAAAGAAAAAAAAAAAAAAATGCAGTTTAGAGACAGGAGGCAGCATGGCTCTCTAGAGCTGTCCCGCTGCAGTCCAGGAGTGCCTTGGATGTAAGCTGAATAAACTCATCTACTCATCAAGCTCAACTGTCTGAGTCATCCTTTGGTCTCATGGCTCCTTCCCAGTTTAGGTAGGACGTTGCAGCCCCAAGTTTTTCTTGCAACATCACAAATCTAAGATAATCTCTAAGAATCCCAAACATGAGAAAGATGAAGAGAAGTACATCAAAGAATGTCATAGTCAAATCGCTCAAAACTCAAAATACAGAGAAAAATCTTAAGAGCTAGAGCTTGGTAGAGCTGGGTGAAGTGAGAAGATGTTATACAGAGGAACAAAGAAGGATTATAGCAGATTTCTCATTGGAAACAATGCAAGAAGACAGCAGAGCAATATCTTTAAATTATGGAAGATATGGGCCAGGCGCGGTGGCTCAGGCCTCTAATTCCAGCACTTTGGGAGGCCGAGGCGGGCGGATCACGAGGTCAGGAGATCAAGACCATCCTGGCTAACACGGTGAAACCCCGTCTCTACTAAAAAATACAAAAGAATTAGCTGGGCGTGGTGGTGGGCGCTGGTAGTCCCAGCTATTCGGAAGGCTGAGGCAGGAGAATGGCGCGAACCCAGGAGGTGGAGTTTGCAGTGAGCCGAGATTGCGCCACTGTACTCCAGCCTGGGCGACAAAGCGAGATTCCATCTCAAAAAAAAAAAAAAAAAAAAAAAAAAATTATGGAAGATCTGGCTATTCTCCTGCCAACCTAGAATTCTAGACCCAGCTGTTGTGTAATAACGAATCTGATTGGCCTTAGTCCCCAGTTCCTCGGAAGGAGCCTCTAAATCCTTGGAATTTCAAAACCCAAGTGATAGGAGTGCTTCTGTTATTCATGATGGGGCCTGATACTTTATGCTAATGATGTAACTCAGAATGGAGGCTGGCCACACCTGAAAGACCAACCATGTAATTGGAGGGTTGGGGCTTTGAGGCTCACCTAGCATGAAGGAGTGCTAGCACTCACCTAGCACTTTGGGAGGCCCAAGCAGGCAGATCACCTGAGGTCGGGGGTTCAACGCCAGTCTGGCCAACATGGCGAAACCCTGTCTCTACTAAAAATACAAAAATTAACCGGGTGTGCTGGCACATGCCTATAATCCCAGCTACTCAGGAGGCTGAGGCAGGAGAATTGCTTGAACCTAGGAGGCGGAGGTTGCAGTGAGCCGAGAACGCACCACTGCACTCCAGCCTGGCTGGGTGACAGAGTGAGACTCCGTCTCAAAAAAAAAAAAAAAAAAAAAAAAAAAGAAAAGAAAAAAAAGAGGGTTGGGGCTTTGAACCACTTGCTATCAGTCTGACATAACCTGACTTCCCAGAAGTGGAGAGGGGCTAGAGATTAAGTTCAGTCATACGGCAAATGAGTCGATCAATCGTGCTTATAAAATAAAACCTCACTCTGGACACAAAGCTCCTGTGAGCTTCCCTGCTTAATAATAATTTCTATGTATTGGTATACATCGATGTGTAGGAGGGTGATGCATCCTGACTTCACAGGGAGAAGGCACTGGAAGCTTTGTGTTGGGACCCTCCCAGACCTTGTCCTACACATGTCTTCTTTGGTCAGTCCTGATTTTTATCTTTTTTGCCACAATAAAATTGTAAACCTAAGTATAGTGGTTTCCTGAGCTCTGTGAATCATTCTAGTGAATTACTGAACTCAGGAGGTAGTAAGAAACCTCAAATTTGTATCTATTTTGTCAGAAGTATGGGTGACTTGGGAACCCCAAAACTTCTGCTTGGTGTCTAAAGTAAGGGCAGTTCTGTAGTAGACTAGGCCCTTGTAAAGTTTGGCCTAATTTGGGGTAGTGTCAGAAGTCATTGTACCGGCAAAAAAAAAATTTTTTTTGAGATAGAGTCTTGTTTTGTTGCACAGGCAGGAATGCAATGGTGCGACCTCAGCTCACTGCAACCTCTGCCTCCTGGGTTCAAGAGATTCTCCTGCCTCAGCCTCCCAAGTAACTGGGATTACAGGCACACGCCACCATGCCTGGCTAATTTTTTGTATTTTTAATGGAGACGGCATTTTGCCATGTTGGCCAGGCTGGTCTCGAACTCCTGACCTCAAGTGATCCTACTGCCTCAGCCTCCCAAAGTGCTGGGATTATAGGCATGAGCCACTGCTCCTGGCCTCAGCAAAAATATTTTTAAAAGACAGAGGTAAAAAATAAATACTTTTTCAAACAAAAGAACTAAATAAAATTCTCAACAGCAAACTACACTACAAAAAAAAGTTTTAAAAACGTCCTTTAGGCAGAAGCAAAGGATACCAGGTGGAAATATGGATCTGCACAAAAGAATGAAGAGCAATGGGAAACTTAACTACATGGAAAAGGACGCATGACATTTTCTTGTTATTTAAATCTATTTAAAAAGCAGTAAATGTTTAAATAATAATACTATTATTACTATTAAATAATAATAGTGTGGGATTTACAACACATTAGTATCAAAAGTTTGAAAACAACTATATAAAGGCCGGAAGGGGAGAAATGGAAGATTCTAATCCTGTATGTGAAGTGGTATAATATTATTTGAAGATTGATATGAGGGCTATGTTAAAGATATATACTATAAATGCTAAGGTAAACATTAAACAATAAAGGGCTATAGACTATAAGCCAATAAAGGACATAAATGGAATAAAAATACACACTTAACCCCAAATAAAGCAGCAAAAGATCATGGAAGAAGAAAAAGCAGATGGAATAATTAGGAAACAAATAAGGAGGTGGCAGACATAAACAAACTACATCAACAACCACATTAAATGCCCCAATTAAAAGGTAGAGATTGTTAGATTGGATTT